TGAGTTAATATCTCTTCACGTGGTTGGGACATATTACTTTGCAAGTGATGTTCGCGATGCCAAGAAAAAGTGTCCGGCTCGGTGGTGTGTCCGGCTCGGTGGTGCTTTACGTTATATCATATCTTCTATCCTCCTACCTTGAATAACTTCCCACTCCCAGCAATCGTCGAAGCATCCAAACTTACTACAGGCGCACAAACAGGCCAAAGATGTACAACAAGCAACAACTCATGCTCATTTGTTACTGAAATTTAACTCGACGATGACATGCAGATATGGTTGGCAATTACACTGGCCACACTTCTCGTATCCTAGTCCAAAGATCGACACAAGGTAGTAAAAGATCCCCCAGCAGCTGCTTGGCACACACGCATGATTGACAAGGTGATAGATAGCAGAGAGGGGCTAGTGTGATAGCTAGCCGCGACTGATACTATAAAAGGCATGGTGGCAAGGAGGAAAACAGCACATGTGTAAAGTATACCAGGTAAGTGGGGGACATGGGACACTTGCTAGTAGGTGGTTCCTGAGCTAACCCACCTTGATACACTTGGCAATCATATGTATAGAAACACTGACATGATATGGTTACCACTATATCTAAACATTGCAAAGGAATACAGTTAATCATTATAATCACTAAAAAAATATACATGAAAGTGGCATTTCCCGGAAGCAGCTAAAGCGAAAGAATGTATATACTGGCATACAAAGGCTCATAACACATGTTTAATGGAAGTTGTCCATGTCCGTCCTAATATCGTCTCAAATAGCCTCCTTGGATTGGACCTGCTCAAGATGAGTGGAAGCTCCTTTCTTCTCTGTATAATCACTGTCGGCATCGCTGACATTGAAGCTGTCAACAATGGTGGTAGCAAACTTGCGTGCAGGCACGCGCCTCTCGAAAAGAATATCGAGTTCTCCGTAAGTTCTTCCCTTGGGTTCGGGAAGGCGGAAAAAGGCCCATACGAAGCATAGGAAAGCAGTCCCAGCATAGAAAAAGCCGCTCTTGGCACCCCAGTTCCAGGCACCGGGGTTAAGCATGCGTGGAGTCAGGATATTGCCAATGATGGATCCGATGTTGTAAAAGTTCCTGGCAAGGACAACGGTTTTCTGGCGGAGACGAGTGGATGGGATTTCGGCGACAATCGAGTAACACACTGGACCGACAGTGCAATTGTATGCAGCGGCAAAGAGCAGAAGCATAGAACCAATTGCCCATTGTGCTCCAATGTTGCCCTTGGGAATAGTACCAAGACCGCCGATGATGCACATAAGCATGACCATGACAAAATCGCCAACAACGTACAGAGTTCGACGTCCAATCCGTTGGATGAGGGCCCAGGCGGCAAAAACACCCACAGCACCGATTGCGTATTGACCAAGACTCATGGAAAAGGAGTCAGCATCGCTGAGACCGGCTTGCTGGAAGAAGTAGGTGCTATATCCAATGAGACCAGCTCCACAGAAAGCCTGGGTAAACCACGCCATGGCAGCAATCTCGGTTCGTCGGAGGTCGGTTCCCTTGAAGCAGTCGAGGTACGAAGTGCCTTCGGATACAGCCATCTCCATAGCATTAGTGTGGCGCATCATGGCAATAGTCTCGTCGGGATTGAACTCGGGGAGCCTCTCGGGAGAAGTCAGGCGCATCAACATCTTCTTTGCCTCATCACAGCGATCCTTGCGCACGAGCCACCAGGGCGACTCTGGTGCAAACGAGATGCCAATCATCAGGGGAAGAGGCCAGAGCCACTGCAGGGCGTAGGGGATGCGGTAGGCCCACTGATCGGGTCTCTCGGCCACGCCCTTGAGCACACCCGAGGCGAGAAATTGGCCAATGACCCAGCAGAGGTTGACGTAGGTGGTGAGAATGGGACGGAGAGGAACAGGCACGACTTCGGCAGCATATGTGCAAGTCAGAGTCTGGAAGACACCCCATGGAATACCACAAAGGATAAGGCCGCCTAGGAGCATCTCAACATTGTGTGCGAAGAAGACGATGAAGATGAACATGTTTGTGGCAAACAAGGCTCCAATCATGGTCTTTTTATATCCGAATCGATCTGCGATCAGGCCGTTGAGCATCAAACCCATAAACTCGCCAACATAGGCGCCGTTGGTTAGTCCGGCTTGCCATGCCGCGGTGACCTCGTACTTGCCGTCAGGGAGCGGCTGGCCAAACTTGCGCTTGAAGGCTGGCACTGCCATGAGGTTGGCAATGAGGACCTTGTCAAAGCCCTCCATGATGATGGCTGCAGAGAGTAGAACGGACCAGGCGATGGCCTTGGGGTAAAGCTTGATGCCCTGTGCCAGGCTCATCTGCTGCTCGGCCTGGGTTCCTTTGCTGGCATCGTGGAGAACCTGCTTGATGTCCGGAGTAGCAATCGAGAGGCGGCGTGCCTGTTCTGGGTCGGGACCGACGACGCTGCTGTTGCGGCGAGACATGGTTGTGTGGTCAAAAGGGGGGGTTTGTGTTTTCTATTGGTGAAGAGGCCGGCAAGTAGTCTGGGTCGAAGCCCGGCCTGTTGGGAAGGGTGGAGCTGCTGGTGGAACGGTAATCTCAAGGATGAAACTGCACGGTGTACTTATACATTTGGATTGTGACCCCAGACAACCCATACCCATGTGCATCCAAAGCCTAAAGTCCGCTCGTGCCAAATTAGCAGCTGGGGAGGATGGAGTGAGACAGAGGATGCGGGGAGCGACGCCACGAGCAAACATGTCGAGGCCGTGGTCTTTGCGCGACTCGGACTGAGGTCATGGCTTTGAGGCTAGGCCGGAGGGGGCCATGGGCGCCGACGCAGGTGCGCCATGTGAAAAGTCGGAGGCTCGATGTTTGGCCAATGGTTTGCGCACTGTCGGACCGAAGCAGAGGCCAAAGGCACCAACAGAGGGCGTCACGTATGGCGACAATGCCCTTGCCAGGCCCTCGCCAGGGAAGTGTGTCGAGTATGGTGTCGTCGTCGAAGAGCAAAGGGGGAGGTGAGCGGGCGATGATTGGCGCCATGTCGGGTGCCAGAAATCGATAGCGTGCGTGCACCAGGGCCGAAGCCGCAATCTCCCCGCACTCGCATAAGGCCTCGCTTATTCCCTTGGATAGGCAGCCCAGGATAGACGACGGTTGGAGTAGCAGGGGAAACACATGTCGGCGGGGAAATAGTCTGGGGCAGTACTAGCATGGGGAGCACGAGGGGATGCGAGGCTATCTGTGGGGGTGAAGGTTGGCAGACTGTGGGGTCGAGGCTGCGTCGTTGCGGGGGACAGTGGTGCTGGATGGCGTTCTTGAGCCCCGGGCCGACATTCACCCAATCATAATCCCCCCGAGAAACATCCCGTCTTCCAAAAATCGTTCCGAGGTATCCCGAAAATCTTTCCGAGCCATTCCGAGAATCTTTCCGACCTATGTATTCCATCCCACGTCCATGCCATGTGCGGGGTGACGGCCACAACCACCACTACAACCACTGCTCTTGCTCTCAGCGATTCCCCCAGAGAAACCTATAAGAAAGCCGCCGGTACCACCGAAAGTTATGACGACGGCATTGTCTTCTGACCAAGTTGTTCCCACCCCCCACACCGCCGCCACAATGACAATCACTCCTCGACCATGGTGGAAGGATGCCGTCGTCTACCAGATATACCCTGCCTCGTTCAAGGACAGCAACGGCGACGGCATTGGCGACCTCAATGGCATCATCTCGGAACTCGACTACATCCGCTCCATTGGCGTCGATGTCATCTGGGTCTGCCCCATGTACGACTCGCCTCAGGTCGACATGGGCTACGACATCCGCAACTACGAGGACGTCTACAGGCCATATGGCACCGTTCAGGATATGCAGAGGCTGATTGATGAGACCCATTCGCGGGGCATGAAGATCATCCTGGATCTCGTCATCAACCACACTTCAGATCAGGTATGCTCTGGTCACGTGCTTTGCTATGGCATTGGCCATCAAATGCTCACTGCCTACACCACAGCACCAATGGTTCCAAGAATCACGCTCGTCAAAGGACAACCCAAAGCGTGACTGGTATATTTGGCGTCCCGCCCGCTACGTTGATGGCGTACGCAAACCCCCCAACAACTGGGTCTCCAACTTCACCGGCAGTGTCTGGGAATGGGACGAGCACACCCAAGAATACTACCTCCACCTCTTCTGTCCTGAGCAACCCGACCTGAACTGGGAAAATCCAGAGACGCGTAAAGCCATTTACGAGTCGGCCATGGAGTTTTGGCTCAAGCGTGGTGTCGACGGATTCCGTGTTGATACCGTCAACATGTACAGCAAGGGCGATATGCGCGACGCCCCCATCACCGATCCGGGATCAGAGTGGCAGTTTGCCGGCTACCAGTACTGCAACGGCCCGCGAATGGACGAGTTTCTGGGCGAGATGAATCAGATTCTGGAAAAGTACGATGCCATGACAGTCGGCGAGTGCCCACACACACTTGATATCAACAGAGTACACCAATACGTAAGCGCCAAGGAGAAGCGACTCTCTATGGTGTTTCAATTTGTAAGTGGACCTGGTCTCATTACAATAACCCAGTGCTCACCCAACACAGGACGTAGTCGATGTTGGGCAAGGCCCCTACAAATTCCAAACCACGCCCAAGAACTGGACACTGCCACAACTCAAGCGCGCAATAGCCCGCACTCAAGATCTGATCCGGCCTCCCTCTGACAGCTGGACCACTGCTTTTCTGGAGAACCACGACCAAGCTCGGTCAATTACGCGCTTCACTTCTGACGCCCCGCAGCACCGCGTCGCTGGCGGCAAGATGCTTGCCCTCATGCTGAGCGCCCTCAGCGGTACGCTGTTCATCTACCAAGGCCAGGAAATCGGCATGACAAACTTCCCCGAATCGTGGGACATGAGTGAATACAAGGATGTTGAGTCAACAAATTACTACAAGATGGTTGCCAAGCGCACCAACAACGACGTCGACGCGCTCGCTGCTGCACACAAGTCGCTGCAGCACCTTGCGCGCGACCACTCACGCGTGCCCATGAGCTGGAGTACTGCGCCGTACAATGGCTTCAGTCCGCCCGATGCAAAAGACAAGCCGTGGATGCGGCCGCTAGAAGACGCAGACATTTGCAATGCAAAGGCGCAACAAAACGACAAGACGTCTGTGCTGGGCTTCTGGAAACGCATGCTGCAGCTGCGCAAGGAGCACAAGGATTTGTTCGTCTTCGGCCAGTACGACGATCTCGACGTTGACAATGAGCAATTTTATGTTTTTAGCAAGACGTGGCAAGGGAGACGAGCGCTGTGTATTTGCAACTTTACAGATGAGAGCAAGCAGCTGGTTTTGCCAGAGAGCGTGGCGACACAGAAAATGCAGCTGCTGGTAAGTAGTCGGCAAGACGAGGGCGTCGAGGCAAAGACGCTAGCGCCGTACGAGGGAAGGATCTATCTTTATGTGTAATGAAATGTTATGACAAGAATTTTTTTTGTAGAAATCGATAGATGAGTTGATATCAACATGGTGGTTATCATCATCATCATCATCATCCTCATCGTTTTGACCACGGTTGTTTATTAGAATATAAAAAAATTCTAACAATACACAACGTGTACATGTGGAAATGGGGGTCTATGTTTTTGTTCATTATCCATCACCGAACGTCGCCACCTGCATGGTCAGGCGCCTGGAGATGTTGTTCCAGGTAGCCAACAGGCCGCTCCTTGCCTCGCCTCTGGGTAGTGTTGCTCCTTGGGCTGCTGGCGCCTGAAGTACTCCATGCCCGTCTGCCATGAGCTCGAGTCCTGCAGCCGTCTTGGACTGTGTGACCTGATACCAAGGGTCACTTGGCACAATGGGACCAGCGCTGTTATTGCAGCTATTGTTGTTTTTGTTGTTGTTGCTGTTGTTGCCACCACCACCACCACCACCACCACTGGGGGGACTATGCACATCGAGGGGCAGATTCGGAGAGCTAGCATTACTCAGGACCTCTGGGAACATTGTCTGCAGCCGCTCCAGCTTCTCGAGCAAGATACCACGGCGGGTGTGGTCGAGATGGGGGATGAGCAGGACAAAGTCGAGGATGAAGAGAAAGTCGTCGATGCGCAGTGCTGTCTCGTCAAGGGTGGCGGCGGGCACGTGGATCAGCACGTCGGCAATGGTGTCTGTGATTTCAAACAGCTTCTGTGTGATGCTTGTCCCATGGACCTCAATGTCCTGCCGCGACATACTCGAGACGAGTTGCCGCAGCGTCTGCGAGAGTCGCACGGGGAACAGGAGCGATAGGCATTCTTTGGGAGAGCGCGAGGAAAGCAGCGTTTGGCTCATAGCGAGGCGCCACACCAAGGTGCGCAGCCATTCGCGTGTGATGCACAAATCGGCGCGCTGCATCATGGATAACATGGATAGCTCACGCGCGTCCGCCTCAGGGTCGCCCTCGAGCTCGCGCGACTTGGCCTCGACCCAGGTGCTGGTGACGTTGGCGCCCTGCGAATCCAGCCAGCTGTTGAGGAATTCCGTGTCCAGCAGCTTGAATAGCTTGATAATATGACTGAAGCCCTCGTGCACCTGGATGGGCAGCGTGGGGTCGTCTTCGGGCATTGTGTAGAGCGGGGGCAGGATTGCGCGGCGATAGTCGAGGATGGCCAGGAAGCGCTCGTGGATGAAGGCTTGCCAGTACAGCCGCTGTCTGCGAGAGCGCTCCGGGGCAGACAGTTGTGCGGCATTCTCCGGGTTGTCTATCCTCAGCAGCTGGATGATGGTGATTGCGTCGCGCATGTAGAAGAAGGCGGCGTCACTGCCCTGCAGGCTCATCAGGCAATTGTGGATAAACATGGACTGGACTGCTCGCATGACGGAAAAGTGGCAATGCTTGTGGGAGCGGCGCATGGTGTCGATGGAGTGGTCCATGAGCTTTTCAATCGTCTGCACCACTTCGTCTGTCCTGCGGTCGCCATAGCGAGTGAGATTGAGAGTACAGCCACCAAAAGCATACACAAAGGAGCACACATCTGGATCAGTGTCCATGGCCTCGATGTACTGACGAAGCTCATGTGCGGCAATGACAGGATGCACAGGATACACACCCTCGACATAGTCGGGAATGAGGTCGAGAAAAAACGACTTGGTGTACTGCGGCGTCAGAGAAGAAACAGGAGATGCTGCTCCGGGTCAGCAGCAGCATTCCGCATTGTTTCCGCAAGTTTCAAGAAAGAAAAAAAGAAAAAAAAAGAGACCTACTGGCTTCGGCTTCGTTGCTCGTGACGGTGGGCGAAATGGGAGTGTATACGGCCTGGTAGGCGGCTTGGCCTGGGTGAGCGGGCAGGATGGGCGTGGCTGTGGCAGGCGAGGTGGACGTCTGGGTTCTGAATTCTGAAATGATATGGCCTCTCTTGCCCTGTGATCTCTGCTTGCTAGATGGCGAGTAGATGCATCGCAGTCCGAGGTGGGCGCACTGCTGGCAACGCGTCTGGCCGTTGCAGCGCACCTTTCGCCGCTTGCACGCGTCGCATGCTTTGGAAACTCTTTTCTGCGATGACTGGTCCATGGCAGTGGGTCATGTTGCGTGGTTGTAGCTCTGGTCTTCTTCGGCTCCGTCCTTTTCCCTTCTTTTTCTTTTCTCACTCTTTTTTTTCTCTCCAGAACGAACCTCGGAGTCGGGAAAGGTCAGAAGATCCGGGGGCGGGATGGACATAGTGCGGAGAGGCGCTAACGCCGGAGCTCCATCCCAAACTAGCCTGCGTGCATCGTAGGCTCATGCGAGGCACCGAGTCAAGCAGGTCTGAGGGGTTTTGCTGGTGGTGCGGAGACATTGGATACCCGTACCTGGATCGTGGGCATGGCCTCGTGCATGTCCAGCCCAGGGATCATTCGACTGCGCAGTCTTCCATGCAGAGCCTAGAACGCTTTGCAGTCGAAACGCATGTGACGGACAGAGACGCCCCACTTGTCAGTGCCCATGTAAAACATCTACCATGTACTACTCATGTACTTGTGTACTAACTTACTTGCTTGCTTGCTTGCTTACTTACAATGTCCTACCTACCTGAGTACATGCCATGTACATACAGGACATAGATCCCGTTTCCCTTTCCTGTCGCACGCCCCTCGGAGATTACTCTCATCTACTGGCCACTAGTACATATGGCACATTCATGCTCGTACTACTCCCAACTTCTCCCTTCGTGCTAAGGCGTTGTTTAGCCGTTTCAGATGGCGAGCATTTGTCAACAAGGCTCCATCAGTCAATGGCTTGCTTACCTCTACGTGCGTATTCAAGTACACACAGCAGCCAATCTCATGCAACTTCTTGCTATCGGGCCTTGACTTGCAAAAGAGATGAGTTTAATGCCTTGATGTTGCTATGAGATTGCACATGTATGCATACCATTCAACGCCCAGTGTCAGCATCCATCTATAGAGAACAGGATACATTTGTCACGTGATACACCAACTAGCTATTGACTGACCAGATGCACCATCTGCCGCCGCAGCAAGAGTCTCGCGCGGTGGCTTAGACTAACTTGCTATACGAGGACCTAGAGGCTTGCGTATACATGGCGCTCGGAATTAACTCACCTACATGCATCAATGTCCCTCTCCTCACAACCAGGTCCCTGGTCCAATCAGAGAGCATCTCCCGGAGCACCACCATCGCCGTGCATCTTCCTCGCCTCGGCCTGTTCTTTAGCCTGGATGTATTGGTACTTGAGACGGGCAGCCTTCAGCTCAGCTTCCGCCAGATCTAGCTCCGCCTGCAACTTTTGCACCGCCAGAGACTCGTTCGAGGCATCGGCATCGCACGTGGAACCGGCCCGTGGGCCTGGTGAGAGGGAAAATGCGGGCGCCGGGTGGGCAAGGAGAGAGTAGCCGCGAGTAGATCGCGTCGAACTAATGTCTTCATCGTCGTCTTCGTCGGTGAGGACTGGTCGATTATTGCGGTTGGTCATGCGATGGGCGTCGTTGGGTGTGTTACTTGCACGTTGGCGCTTTTTCGCAGCTGGGTCGTGGCGCTGGAAACCACCAGCATCTGCTCGGCGGAGACGGGCGGGCTTATCTGTCAAGTTTTAGCATTCATGGCCTTCAGAGGCAGTCTTCGACACTTACGCTTGTGCCGCTTCTTCATGACGCGAGCCTCGTAGACCTCATGAGCACCACCGCGGCGGCGCTTCGCACCCTTCACCTCATCCGGCTCGACCAACTCTTCAAAATAAGAATCAGTCGAGGAGCTGGATGATGGTTCCACCGCCTCGACTTGATTCTTGCGCTCTGGGTGCTCGTACTCGTCCTTGAGCTCTCGGATGTCGTTCAACCGGCACCAAGGATGCTTGGGCTCATGCAGAGCGCACTTTGCGTACAGATCCGCTTGAAATGTGGCTAGGTCGCCCTTCTTGAGACGCGAAATAGCCATGAGATCCTTGATGAACTGGACACCCCAGTTGCGGGGGTCGTCCTCCGTCTCTTCCTTGATGTGATCACGGCGCTCGCAATCCCACGCGCGCATCCGTATGTCCTGCGGGATGATGTCTACAGGATCCGAGACACCAAAAGAAGTAGCAAGCGCAGGCAGGAGGCATAGCACCAAATCCTTAGTCTCTGGGTTTAAGGTTTCGAACCTGCGCATAATGGGAGTCGGCGTATTCCAAGTCACTGTGCGGTGTTTCACGTAAGGTCTTCAGCCCTGTAGTTGCAGAGTGAGTTACCTACAATGCTAAAGTTAGCAAAGCGAAATTATCTCAGAAGCTAGAGGCGGGAGAATCGCTTCGAGTCCACGAGGCTTCGACCTGGGCAGAGAGAAGAATATGGCAACCAATTCCTCAAGTAAACTTACTGTGAAACGTTGCTGCTAAATACACTGTGGGGACCAAGAGGTGGGCGAATTGAAGCCAGTGGTGAAAACAAGATTGTCAAAGCGCATTCACCCTTGAGTACACCAAAAATGGTGATTCTCTTCTTTGAGTAGATCAGGTGCTGCAAATCCAATGAAAAACGTGGGTGCTACACGAGAATGGACGACCCGAAGAGTTTAGCGTGCCGTATTTGTAGAATTGGGAAGTGAGAGAGGATGGAGGCTAGTAACCATTCTGGGACTAGTAGCAAGCATGAATGCTTTCACCACTATTGTTTGTTGTGAAAGATTGGCATGAACGGTGAAGAAGACAAGGAAACGGGTTCGAGAAGCGCTAAAGAAGTACCATACGAATGTGACCAGCTGGAAAGACTATGTGGGAGAGATCCTCTTGATCTAGTCCTGACAATAGAAATGCGTCAGGGAGTACTAGCCGCATGAGAGCAGTCCATTCGCGGGGTTGTCTTGTTTCGTGCCGCTGTGTACACCGCACGGGTAGTATATGCCTCTTCGTGTGACAAGCCCAATTGAGCTTTGGAAGTGATAAACTGTCTTTGTAGATTAAGCCTGCAAAGATGTTGAGGCATTTCTTGTGCCAGGAGAGAGGTTAAGAAGAATTGCTCATGATGCCCAAAATAATGTGAATTGGTCGGTTGCTGTGGTACAAAGTCAAACGCCAAATACTAGTTACAGCACGTATACTAGTGACAAATAAGTCTGACTAGTGGGAAGGAGAAGCAGATTCTAAAGATTGCAGAAGGTTGCTACACATGCACAACACTGGATGAATTGATAACCGTAAAGTTGTTTTGCTGTCATGGTTTTGGCAGAAATGTCCGGACATGATAAGATGATGTTTCATCAAGAGGCAGAAGCTCGACACGGTCCTTGGGCACCGGCGTTAGTAGTGTTACTACTACTAGCGTTTCCTTATATCCGCTAATCCTTGTCGTACCTCCAACCTCAACCCGCCATGTCAACGCGCCGAAGCTTGGGCGGCAAAGTCATGAGGAATCAATAGCACGATAGAAACAATGGCTGGGAAAAGACAACACTCGCCTTCCCCAGCCCCAGCAGAAATCTACTTTTCAGCTCCAATCCATGAGCAGACATCGTCCTTCACAGCCGCCTTCTCTCCCTCGCTCAGCGCAAAAGCCCTCCAAGCGCTGCCCGAGTTCCGCACCGCAACGCACAGGATCGCGGCATGGCGCAAGCCCTCGCGGCAAAAGTCACTGATGCCTGCGTCGCACACTCTGTACGAAACGGGGTATGACGACGACGGTGAGAAATGGGCGGGAACACGGCTCAGCAATGTACTGCGCGACACATCGACTTGCGGGACCGTGGTTGTTGGGCGCTGGTACGGCGGCCAAAACATTGGTCCTATTCGCTTCACGCATATTGAATCGAGTGCCAAGGAGGCGATTCGCAAGGCCAAAGTCGCAGGCGCTTTGTCATCTGACAGTGCGCAGCAAGCTTCGAGTTCTGCCAGTCACAAGAAGCAGAAAGTGCAAGAGGAGAAAGAGCGAGAAGAGGCGAGGCGCAAAGAGCTCATTGGCAATCTGCAAGAAAGAGATTACAACATCTTCGCGTTGCGCAAGCTGCTGAGCGAGAAAAAGGCAAGGTTGCAAGGCGAGGGGCGGGCGGAGCTGCTGACGCCTCAAAAGCTAGTGGATTACGATAGCATGAGCATGGAAGCGTTGGGAAGGGTGGACAAGGCACGGGATGCAACGATTGCGTTTATACTGAAGCAGATTGACAAGATAGACGAGGAGGCGAAGCTTGCGGAGACATTGGATGCAAGTGGTGGCGAGGAGGTGCTCAAGGACGCGGACAAGAACAAGCAAGGAAGAAGCACTAGCGACGCCTGAATGAAGTGCCTTGTCTTGGGCTGATTGCTGTAAAAAAAAGTGCCGTGGTATCTTGGTGGCCATGGGCGTCACGTGGTATCATCATCTGAGCAACGCATTCAAGACATATGGGTGCGCTTGCAGTCTGCCATGACGGTCTACCATGACGAAATAGCTTGGGGGCCTGCCTCAGCAACATCAGGGGAAGACATGTATACACAAATAGCGCCCTCCTGTGATGGCTAGGATGAAGCATTGCTATTCCAATGCAGCCATGTTGCCGTACTGCGCTACTAGATGGTCCAAGAGCCTATACAGTGGTCTTTATATCAACGAATACAAGCTTCTACTTGCACCCTAGAATGCGGTGGTACAGTCAGTGCAGAGAACTATACCGCATTTATATTACAAGCGTGATGAGTACATGTTGTTTCCAGGTCATGGCAGCAGGACGTCGGCGTCTCACTTGCCATGTATAGAGCTTCATAGAAGCAGTTCCAGCACACTGGTGTGTTGGCCACCCGTCTCGTCCTCGGCCCTCTCAATGACTGATATTCCACCTGCCCTTCTTCAACCGCCTCATAATCATCTTGCGCCCCTTTTTTGTCCGCAGACGGCTCAAAAACCCATGCCTGCGCTTGCGCACCAAATGACTGGGATTGTACGTGTCGCGGGGTCCGCAGCGGATCTGCGTACTGCCCAGGGCGGGATGCGCCGATATTCTGCCCACAAGGTCTAGTGTTTCCGGGTTGGCGAGGGAAGACGAGGTGCCAGGCGGGGCCAAGGTTGACGGCGACGAGTATGTCGCAGGCACGAGGGGACGGCGGGGTGAGAGGAGAGATATTTGGCGGGCTTGCGAGGGCGTGGATAGGCTACAGAGAAGAGAAGAAACAAAAGTCAGCGATGCTAGGTCATGTCGTGATACAAGAGGGTGTGCGCATACCGTTGTGCTGCTACTACTGCTGCTGTGCCTGATGTGCGTGGTCTGAGAAGCGCACAAGAGCTGGTTGAAGCAACCCTCAGGCACCGAAAAGCGTTCATCGCGTCCCCTCTTTTCTGTTCTTCTGTACAATTGGAAGACTTTGTATCTGCTCTTTTTTGTCCCTCTGCCTCTCTCAAATCCTCTTTTCTTCCCCAATTGACTTGCGTGTGTGTGTAAATGGTTCGTCGATTGCAGCGCCCCGTTCCCCAGTCCGCAGACCAAAACTAATAAAACATGGGTCGGGCGTCCGTGCGCAAAAAGTTGTATCTTTGCTCGTGTACACGCTCATACCCAAGACTCTTTTCTGAATGCACCACTCAACCCAAGATTAATGTTTGTGCCATAACCAGTTCGCCTCATTTTTTTATACAATCGCACAACCATGCTACTCGAGGCGCCTCCACCACGCCGCCAGGTATCCAGCGCGCCCGTGTCTCTCAGCGCCGCATCCGCCGTGTTAGAAAAGTACCTGCAAGACTCCGAGACACATGCGCACTTGCACCCCGACGCCCTCATCACTCCCGATGGCGTGACATTCAATGCAAAGGGCGGCGCCGTGGGGAACCTGCTCATGCACCATCTGCGCCGTGTAGCCGCGGGATTGCGCGGCGAGTACCTTGAGCCCGACACGACTCTCGAGGCCCAGGACGAAGCCCTGGACACTGCTGCTGATGGCGAAGGCAGCAAAAACACGGGCGCAGAGCAAGATTGGCAAGACAAGGCCACCTACCAGGCCGAGCTAGGCGGCATCGAGATTGGCGACGTGGGCAACAGGACCAACGTCGTGCAAGGTGGACAGGAACCACCAGTGCAGACCAACGACACCAAGAAGAGAAAGAAGGACCAGGCCCATGACCATGATCATAACCAACAATCGCCCGCAGATGGACAGGTGGACAAGGATGCCAGAAAGAAGGCCAAGAAGGAGCGAGACCTGCAGAGGAAGAGGGACAATGCGGCAAAGGCAAAAAAGTCGGATTAGCCATCTTGCCATGCCACCACAAACCGACCGAGATGAGAGGCACTGCCCCTTTTTGCGCCGTCGCATTGGAGCTACATGACAGTACTACATCAACGGTCCGCACCCAATCTTGCTTCCACACGCCCGTGGCCTTTTTTGTCCCACATCACACACTCACACGCACCGCCACCACCACCCCCGACTAACGCTTACAGCTCCCGATCCGTTGCCTTTACAGCCTTGTCCTCGTCGGCCGCCTTGTCAACCACAATCTTCTTCTCGCCCGTCCACTTCATAGCCTTGAGACGCTCTGTCAGAATCGGGTGCGAGTGGTGGAAGCTCGAGTAGAACCAGTCGGCATCCATGCTCGACAGGTTCTGGATCTGCAGCTTGATCAACGATGCGCCCAGCTCACGCGCATAGCCAAGTTTGACGGCAAAAGCATCTGCTTCACGTTAGTCTTGATCACACAAAAACACTCAAGTATTTGAGCCACGTACCTGCTTCGTATTCCATGCTGCGGGTCCAGATGTTGAGGAGAAGCTTGACGATCGAGTCCGTAGGCGACAGAATCTCGTTGAAGAGCATGAAGCCAACAATGGTCGGCTGCTCCCGGTGGAAGCCAAAGTCTGCGTACAGCGACCGGTTGTTGATGAAGACGGAGAAGAGGGCAAAAATGTAGAATAGATGCGCTTGGCTAATAAAGAGAAGTCGCGACGTGTGGTTCATCTTCCAGTGACCGAGCTCGTGTGCAAGCACGGCCTCGACCTCCTTCTCCGTGCTCTTTTCCAGCAGTGTGTCGTAGATGACAATCTTCTTCTTGCCAATCCAGGGCAGGCCCGTGAAATAAGCGTTGCTATGAGCGCTGCGCTTGCTGCCGTCAATGACCTGCAGCTCCGAAAGGGGAAAGTTGAGCTTGGAAGCAAGCGCTTCGACTGACTCCTTGAGTTTGCCGGGCTTGAGCGGTTCCAGCTTGTTGAACAGGGGCACAATGAGGATCGGGTAGACAGTCATGCCGGTAATCTGCACAACCAGCATGAACATCCATAGGTAGTAGAAGAAGCCCTGTCCCGTCTTGTTGATAATGGCCAGGAAGGCGCTTCCAATCGGAATACCAAATGCAATGGCGAGCGCCTGGCCCTTGACCATGTCCGTGAGCCAGAGCTTGACCGTCATCTTATTGAAGCCAAACTTTTCTTCCAGAACGAAGCTGTGGTAGTACGAGAAACCGAGACCGGCGATCAAGTCGATCCAACCGAGCATGTACATGAACAAGAGCGACTGCGATATCTCGCCCGAGAAGCGAGCAGGTGCATAGCGGGCGAGGACAGTGCCGGCGGCAGTCCAGACAAACGGGTAGAGGTTGAAGTAGAGAGAGGCTAGGTGCTTGAGCTGGTTGAAGACACCGGAGATGAAGCTGAACTTTGCTTTGGCGCGACCATATTGCTGCGGCCGTTGTCAGTATCAATATCACGACCGGCGCCACGTCCGCTTCAGTGGGGGAGGGAGGGGAGGCGCACCTGAGACTTGTCAAACGTTTCCTTTTCGATTTCCTTGTCGAGAGCCTTGGGGATAGAAGTGCGTTGGAGGACACGGTACTGGCGGAAGAGAAGCCAGTTTTCGAGGGCAAACTCTGCGAGAGAAAAGCCGACAACCAGGCGCTTCCATGGGAATTGCGGCCGGTCGAGCCAACGGGCCAGGCGCTGTAGTGTATGTTAGTGGTGAACGAAAGGTGGGGTAGGTTTAGGAGCAGAGGCAGCAATTGCAGGGCTAGACATGCCTGGAGAAGAGCCTGGATCATGGCGAAGTGAGAGGTTGTTGGGTTTGATTGTCAGACAACAGAGCACGCGAGATGAGGACAGAAAGCAGTGGTTGCGCGTCCGTCAGCGACTAGCGCCAGGGTCCTTGACGTAGCCTAGGAAGACTCGTGTTGGCCCTGACACCACCACCACCACCATACATACGCTTTCAATCAACATACTCATTCCGACAACCGTGCAAAGTATTACCCGCTTCCGCTGGCATTACTAGCTGGTGTACCTACCGCTCGTCGTGTTATCATTAGTACACAGCACGCTTTTGCGCCCGTAACAACGACACTCGTCACAGCACCAAGTATCTCGTTTGCATCTCATCTTGATATATTACGTATATACATGTACAATCGGGTAGAGATCCTCCACCTTCCACGTGACCCTCACGATTGATACTTCCAGTCAAACTCCTTCTTGAGCCTTCCAAATCCAAGCCGAGGCTTGTACTCGGCCACCTTGTCCGCACCAAAGTCCCATACAGTGTAGTATCTCTGGAGGAAGGCACTACCAACAAGTGCAAATGAAGGTACACCGGAAGGGTCAAACGGCGGCATACATTGTGCTCCAGGCTCGAGGAATTCATCGCCGCGAATGCTGACCACGACATCGTCCTCGGGCGCACCTTCACCAAGGACCAGGGAAATGGCCCAGGATGCGTTCATCCCCTCGCATGTAAAGCGCTGCGTGCCGTTGAGCAGACTTTGGTAATCCCAGCCGAGGTTGTAGTATAGAGAATCGATCATTTCGTATGGCACGGAAAGGCGACCAGCTCCTGTGTCGAAAACGGCCTTGCCGTCCCCGAACGTTGATAAAGTCATGTTTACCGACTCAATACCATTGCCGGAAAACTGCGTCGTGGGCAGTTTGCCAATGTGTGTCTCGACTGTGTGGTTTGGGTTGGACGGGTTCTTGGCAACCAGTAGATGGACAGCCTTCAACGGTGTGCGCCATAGATCATGCTCGTTGTTGACCTTCTGCAGAGGAGCATAAACCACCTGGCCGTCAACATACTTGTCCTCGTGACTGTCGCCAATGCTCAGCACACCGTCCTGAGGGCCCTCGTCTCCTAGGTTCTTGCCATAGTATAGGCCGAACCGGGGTTTGTCTAGCTTGCCATCCCACAGTAGCGTTTCAACCAGCGTCGACGTGTTGGGCTCTGCGATGGTAGAGAATCCAAGACCCAGAAATCCGTCTGCAGTGATCCACATCCATGAGCTCTCATTGACTGCAATAAATGACTGGTTCCATTCTACGGATCCATCCAGAGCGCTGAAGACATCCTGGTAAATTTCGCCCTTAATGTTACCGCCCAAGTAAGGAATCGTGGCGGGAATAGCAAGTTCGACGGCCGTGGATGATGCAGATGCATTGTAGTATTGTCGTTTATACAGCTCCGTGTTTTCTTCTGGGCACGAGTCTTGTGTACAGTCGGTGCTGACGGTCCAGAGGGTTGATGAGCCGGTATCGAACAACAACTGGTGTTCTTTCGGGGGCGTGCCGATGTCGAGCTTGACGCTGCTGTATGTGCCCTTGATGACAACGGGCAGGTCGAAGACGGCTGCCGAGGCAGTGCCGGCAATGGCCAGAAGCTTGTTGACGCTTCCCACCATGATAAATGTTGGTGTAAAAAGAATGGCTTTATCAGTACTAGGCGATGGAGAAGGGAATGAGACAAAGTTCCAGGACGTGACAAGTCCACATATATACAAACGCAAACTGTGCAGGGTCGTTTAAAGCAATGACGAACATCGCATTATCTATAATTCCAGCGGTGTGGGTCAGGTCTAAAAGGGCTGATGTGATGTTATTAATACCCTCAACCTAGCTTAGCACCTTCGTAAAGATGGAGAATAATCTCTTCCCCCCACTTTCGCACGATGTATAGAGACATTAAAACACACCCAAAAAACAAAAAGATATGTCAGTGATATTGATGGCTCTTTTGTCCACAGTGCCGGGTACGTGAGAGTATATAGAGCTCAGCTCAGGTAATCATATAAGAGCTCGTACCACGGTTGACTCTATGTATTCTGAAAGTCGATTGCACAGTAGATGGAACGGCCCGACAGGCTGCGCTAGACCAACAAAAAGCATGTCATTGCCGGACGATCGGAAAGCAGCGCAGAGGCCGCAGAGGACGAAAGCCCGCAACCCGCAACACAAGAGGTAGCCATGGCGTGCATGTTCGCACTACCATTTTGTGGTCGGTTCTGTTCACTCAGCTGTGAGACTGCATTTCAGTGGACGATAGTGGACGATGGAGGACGCTGTAGAGTCGAGTATTGCACAGCAGAAAGGGGCGAACAACCGTATATAAGCATGACCCCTGGCGAGACAGGGCCGAAACTTGCCTATTCGGCCATGGTTCTAGCGCAGAATTACCAAGAGGGCCATGCCCTGTAATGTGTAGATTACGATGAAGCCGCATGCCGCTGGATACGACTGCATGCACTATGTATAATGATTGTGACTGAAGAATAGTAGTATACTACATATCTGTGTATGTAGTGTAGTGTAGAGTAGGGTACACTTACAAGGTGCTGATGCATGACTCATGCATGGCAGTGACGTGCATACTTACTGCATATGACCGTCGCCACGGCTGCTGCGCCACACTGACCAAGGTGGCAACAAGCCTCTCCTTTCCCCAATACCCCGACACTCTCTCATCACACACATATTGCAACATCCCTTGACCTTGACCACCCCTCCAACATTCCCACCTCACCCTCACAATCTATCACTTATTCACTCTCGCAAACTGCACACACAATGGACGAAGACCTCATCGCCTTTGGCATCGTGATGCTGCTCTTCCTTTCTTTTCCCTTTCTTACCGTCCTCAGCATCACCGGTTGCATCGCATACTCGCGCACAAAGGCCTGGGACAAAGCCCGCAACCAACGCGCCGTCAGCCTCGAGTCTTCGGAAACCAATCGCCTCGTCGAAGATGGCGACAACAACGATGACTCGGACTTTTACGACACCGAGGACGAGGACGAGCACAAGCAGCGCCAAGCTGAAGACGAGGCTGACAAGCACGTCACTTTTGGCCAAAAGTTCCGCAAGGAGTTCAGGAAGGTCTGGACAGGCAAAGGAAAGAACGATATCTTGAAGCAGAAGGAGAGGGAGGAGAGGAGGAAGTTGGCCAAGGCGGTGGCGAGGGAGTTGGATCGCCGCGAGAGGCGGATGGCCAGAAGGGCTGCCACCAAGGTGCAGTCCTCTGACGATCTGCCAGCTTACACCAAAGCCTAGTCTGGCTACACCTACTCTAACCTTTGCTATGGAGTTGTAGTATACAGCATGCGTAAGGTAGACGACTTTCTCTTGGCTATAAATTGATACCCGTTTTTATTTTTGGATATTCATCAGAACCGCCGTGCTCCCTTCATCCTTAGTAGTACACCCTGAACTGGAACACTGTGCCCTCAAGTGCTATAGTATTTAAACCTGAAAGTCCTACTTAAAGACTATTGCAGAGATGGCCCCGGCATTTGCAAATCTAAACACGATTAATTTTTGAGGCAAGTCTTTAACTCTAACTCTAATCTTCCATGCTTCTGTTGTCTTTCGATGGCATGACAAACCACTTATACGACACTTGTAATTGCTGCGAGACAATGTACATTCTCCCACACAGCATAGATTACCGTTAGATTCACAAGTTCCTTAAACGCACATTTCATCGCTAGCCGAGGGTTTGCCAAAAGGATTGCTCACCGAGTCGCGCGTCTAGCATTTCATGTCTCGAGAAGAGAAAGTGGTTGGTGAGAAGATCAGAGTCTCGCTGTTTAAAGGGCGAGATATTCCGAGCCTACATAGTCTAGTTGTGCGACCTTTCATGTGCCTGTTACCCTGAACCACGTAATTAGTTCGCACATCGAACTACCATAAGTAATAAGAGGCGGTCTCTGTAAAATAACAAAATTGAAAGTTGAAGTAAGCAGCAGCGCTTGAGTAGTTCATAAACTCATCTTCGTATGTCGATTGGGCTTTGCTGAGGCCTACTTAACATGGGACTTTCGCTCTCATACTAGTTGTTGCTCATCAGTAATGATTAGCCAAAAGTACCCAATTCTCGGGCAACACCCAACTCGCTGCCGGTCTGAGTCCGAACAAGGCGAATCGTCGTAGTTAATCCACAGTTCTAACGCGATCCACATCCGTTCTCTTGAGAATGAGACTGTTCAGCTTACCGATTTATCGCCTATGACATCAGGATCAAACACCACTTTCTCTCGTTTCCACTCACAAACGCCGGCATCGTAACTCAACTGACGTTATCTGATGCTCTAGTCCGATTCTAGACGAACACCCACGGGTCAAGCCGCATATGTGAAACTCTACGCCCGCTAAAGGCCTCAAGACCGGAATCACTAAGGCCTGAGGGGCTAGGAAAGGTCCTCGTGAACTTGATGACAAGTCGCAGCTCCTTAGTGAGACGGGTGAGATTCTTGTGGACATGGGTTTCCTGGAATGCATTTCGTGTCAAGGTCAAGGGAAGTTCGAGGAAGAAGGTACACGTAAGTAGTGGTAGATGCAATATCCAGAAACCTGGGGTAAACGGCCTGGTTAGCTCGCCGGCTTTACCGTGAAACCCACTTCAACGACACATGGGACCGGGTGGTGCGATCGGGACCAAGGTGAACATCGCAACCAGCAGAGTCCCGAGACGACTGTAATTGGGCGGGCGGACCAAGATGTTTACTACTAGCGCAGCCGAGACGCGACACGTTGTCGGCGGATGCCCCGACCTTCCGAGTACTTACTTATTACTAGCCGTACGTACGTAGTCTGTAATGGCGAATCGCTGCTGTCGGATATACAACCGCATCTCCAAGACAGAAGTGCATCTCTGCTCACGGCACGGAGGTGACGGATATGTCCTTGGCGTTGTCATCATCCAAGATGTGCACACTACGCGCGTCTCAACGACTTTGTTCCCTGTGTCTCATGGCTCGCGAGTCTCCCCCATCCAGACATTGATATCATCCACAATATGCCTTTCATAGCCAGTAAACATGGCTCTACCTCGTACTCTCTCCCACTCAGACTCCACGTGCCTTGGTTGAGGTAATTCAAGGGCGATGCTTTTCAAGAGATTGACTGGGACTTCCAAGGAAGCACTCGAGATTTCTCATATCCAACGGTCTCCATAGAATCGTGATTACCGGCACCAATGGAGGGAAATTGACCCTGGTCATCTGAAGAGAAGAGCCCAATTATTACAAAGACCGGACATGGCGGCGTAGCGTCTTGATCGCGCCGAGCTGCCTATCACGATAGGGCGTAGTAGGTTACACGCGGGACTCAATTTGCCAGACTATGGAAGCAAAGGAACCGAGTACGCCGTACCGCCTTGCTCTTGTTTCTCCATACCTTGGCTTCGCTATGCGCCAATATGACATTGTGACGTACCTTCAGGATCTTACGGGTGGATCGTCAATTCCCCTTGTTGCAGGTCTTGAAATCAACTTGGAAATGTTAGACTTACTCTGTCGATATAAAAACATTGTAGCAATCAAACTCATGTGCGACAGTCTAGCCAAGGTTGGCAGGATAAGCGCAAGTTTGAAAACAAAAAATCCAAGTTCATTGCTCCAGCAGGTCAGAGTGACTGGCCCGATTCCTGCACTAAACGTCGGTGGCGTCGGGACACTTGTTGATGTGGCAACCAGAGTGAGTCGTCAGCAAATGCATCAGGTAGGGACAAGGAAATCTAACAACTCGGTCTTACATACACATAGATAATCTCTACCAGTCGGGAAACCACGCTGAAGCGTTCGCCCGATAGATCAAACTTTGTGTCACCGAATGGGAGTTCGCCAAGGGCGAACTCAACGGCACCGAGTTTGATGTTGCACAAAAGAGGGTTCAACCCAAAAGCAGCGCCGACTGCAGGAACTCGTATCCGCCGTATACCGACGCAGGGAAGAAGAAACATGAGAAGGAGAAAGAGGAGTAGGTTATAGATCAGGTGTTGGGCTTGAATGGGCTGGAGACATCGCTGTAGTTGTCTAAGACGGCACCATACCTATATTTGCCATTATTCTCCAAGACATTCGTTGTTGAGTAAGAAGTATCCACCTCAGAGTGCACAACTCCGTAGTGTTCCGAAACCCATTGCGATGCGTTTTGGTTGATTTACTGTGTTTCTGATGTCTGCTTCAAGTCATGCTGAGACCAAAGTCGTCGTCTGAGGCAGACCAAGCCTGAGATGGTCGTACGAACAATGCGATGTCGTGTTTCGCCTAGAGTAAAGCGAGTTGTGAGCACCCAAAGGGCAGGCTAGCAGGCCACAGATGCTTAACTAATGCAAAGATTCTAGAGCTGAGCATAGTAGTGCCTTGTCGTTGGCCTAAACCCTGCTTGGTATATTATGCGCCCTGGTCTACCTAGGCTTGGACACGACTAAATCACCCGAGTCCAGCTAACTCGATGCGGTAAGATTTAAACTCGGGGTAGTAATAATGCTTCAGCAAAAGAGCCTAGGTGGGGCCCCCATTTTATTCATTGTTTCCAGTTCCGTAACTAGCCAACAGTACATTCTGGTCTGAGCAAAGTACCGGACTCTATACTTTTCTTTTGCATTTCGACTTGTCTTGGTTCCTGTGTTTTTTTTCTCTAGAAGCCTCGTTAGCAACCTCCCCAATTTTCTCAACCGAATCGAACTCTCTTCAGCCTGCTCCAGATGTCGCTCTGGTTGGATTCACTCCAGTAGTGTTTTAAATATCGCAAAACTGCTCGTACTCGTCGTCCTTGCTTCTTTGTCCGATGTTGACAACGCCTAGGCAAAACCGGATGGATATGCAGGTGATCGAGAATATGTATGTCAGATCGAGAATTCATATGTCCCGTTAATCTCGCAAACTCCGATGGAGAAATAAAGGCCCCGCTTGTTTTATATTTCTTAGGCTTAAAAAGTAGTACAACGGGTAAGACTAGCGAGTGTCTTGGCTATTCTGAGATAACCCTGTACATTAGATTAGACCAACCCTGTAGGGTAATGCAAGATACAGCGTTGAGAGCGAGTAAGAATGAGCTCTGCTGCAGTTGATACAGGATTAATCCCACGTTGCAACGCGACGGGTTGTGGGGCTACAAATCACTAACGGTTGGGGACTAAGGCCTCAAACCGCCGACGCCTATGCCTCGCCTGGAAGGTCGACCGAATTCTGGCGACCCACTGTCAGGCCATCCCCTCTTACGGTGTAATAGTACCTATCGTCGTCTGGTTTCGCTCGTTCGCTACCGGTCCTGCGTCATCCTACACAAGTGCCGGCAACCAGGTCTCCCTGCGACTCAGCCCCAGAACCCTGCTATACCAAACTCACCCTGGCAACATGTAGATACACATTGTCGCGATGCCATAGTTCCCCCGCATTATCGCCGTTACCCACTATAGTGTATGTCGATCGTTGAACCGCAACGCAGCCTTTCTCCTTTGTGAATATAAAACTATATCCTACCAATGCTACTCCAACTGTACAATTAAATGTCTATTTGTATTTTCCTAGTCTCACAGTCTTTGTGAAGATAGAGTAATTATGTATCCCTCACAGCAAAGTCCCACCACTCCTCGTCCTCGCCAACAGGCTGGCTTGGCCTGCGATGAATGTCGTAGACGAAAGCTTCGCTGTGACCGAGAGCAGCCGCAGTGCGGATTGTGTCGAGACTCTGGCGTCGTATGCAATCGAACAACAACTAAACAGCCTCGCGGTCCAAAGAAAGGTCATCTGCGAGCGTTACAGTTGCGTATAAGTAAGTGCATTCATCCGTCTCTATTTCCAGATGCTGACAAGCCTACTAGTGGCGCTAGAACGTCGTCTGGGCGACCAGACTCTGGGTGATGAGACTCTGGGCGAACATACTGAAGAAGACCTTCAAGCTCTTCAAGATGCAAACATGCCCTACCCGTCATCAATAGAGGCGCCAACTAATGAATGGCTCGCTCTTGATGTCTTCAATGAAGTGCGAGAGAGCTCAGCCAACAGCTCATCCGACAGTTCCGCAGTCGAGTACTTTCCACTACCTGCGCCATTAATTGAGAATCCCACTATGGGACAAATCTCGGATGTCATCAAACATGACCTGTTCGTGTCCCAACCATTACGTGATAGTATTACACGACTAACTTTCGGGCGAATGACTAGTGACCATCTTTACTTTGATCGAGCGCATAACTTTTGTCCAATTCTCAACAAGCGGCACTATTTTGACAGAGCGAGGCAAGCCAGCATGGACAACAACATGACGGCATTCTCCGGTCTACGGTATACAATGTGGACAGTAGCCGCATCAACCTCGAGCCAGTTTCAGCATGTTCAGGACGAACTGTATGCAAACGCAAGAAGGATCCTGGACAGCCTCGAGATGGATCCATCAATGGATGACTACATTCGGGTGGAGCATCTTCAAGCGTGTACACTGCTTTTTATCTACGAGTTAATGCATGTCAACTATAGACAAGGCTGGATGAGTGCGGGCAAGCTTTTCCGGTCCGCTATATTGCAAAAGCTTCACACGGTTGATGGGCGTGATGAGCTTTCTGCCAATTCATCGCTAACAGGAACTGAAATCGAAGAACGAAGAAGAACTTTTTGGATGCTCTTTGTGATTGATTGCTTTGTCAGTCTCATGGATCAGCTTCCGTTGACCTTCAACCAGCATATAGTGGGTGCTACCCTGTTCTTCACAAAAAAAACTCAAGAGTGTAATCATGGACCTAACCAAGTAGCTAGATATTAACACGACTACCCATGCCCGAAGCAAATTTCCAGAACAACGACTCAATCGTTATGCCGTTACCATCACAAGCTCGGCCCGATGACGAACCCCAAGCACCATCCAGTTTTACCGAGTCCATTCGACAGGCCACTCTATGTAACCAAAGCCTATCCCACTACCAGCGCAGCATGGTTGAGCAAGAAGCCCAAGGTGCATCCAGTCTCGACTTTTGGACGCGCCACCAACGTCTCGAAGCCAGCATTACTATGAACTTGGAGCGCTTGTCGCTCCAAGACCATTGCGCAAATCTGCACCTGGACTCCCTGCCGCTCCTCACACACATGACGACCCAAGCAGCCATCATAACAATGTACAAGACGATGCAAACATCCCTGACCCAACCCGAAATAAGCACGCAACAAGACGCTATTGGGAAGCTAACCCACATGGTCCTCCCCGCCGCCCAACGAGTGACTGCCCTCTCCAAGGAGTTGTCGGAACTGAGCTTTTTCCAGGTACTACATACTCTTCATATTTCTATTTTTTTTATTCTTTCGTGGGATTGGAATCCAGAAATTAGCAAGCTAACAAGTATCCTCAGGTCCATCCCTTCATCCCCATCCTCCTCTATCACTGCATCGACTTTCTGTGCTCCCACTCATATCTCGATCCCATTTTTGAATTGCAAACTGCACTTTATAGTGCACTGCGGGGCCTGGAAAATATGAGCAAGATTGCAAGTGATTGTCTTGTCCGCCTGGAAATGACGTTCCCGTCGGTTTTGAGCAAACTGGGAAATTTACACTTTTTAATCGTATAAGCTTATTTGCTTGAATGCACGCATAGGCCGCAATCGGACTGGTGGGGGGGGGTTTCCCCTGTTCGTGGAGGATTCATTGTTTTTCTGAAGGTTTGCATTTTTCTGCTGTTCTAGCGTTGCATTGGAGAGGAAATTTTACTGTATATCACATGTATTGAACAATCACTAGGGGTATGGAATGAATGAACGATAAGTACTGATATGCTATGCAGGATTAGCAAGCATACTTCCGAATTCTCCTTGTACAATCACTGATGCGATCCAAGACAATCCTCCTACTCACCGAGAAACATGAGAACCTCCATTTCATAATGTGTACAAGAAATCTGGCCTCTGATCCCCCATCTCCATTACCTCCCTCTCGCTCTTCCCCTCAACCCAGTGATCCCTACGCCCCTGCCTCCTCTTCTTATTTTCCCAAATCAACAAGAAACGCGTAATGATGCTCCCGAAAAAAAGCCACAGCGTAAGGTAAGCAAGCACCACACCGTGGCCAAGAAAGTACCTTGGTTTATCTTTGCTGCGGTAGATATTCGACGATACGACACCATTAATGTTGCCCCAACCAATTACAAAACCGAGAGTGACACCCCGTTTGTACACGCCCTCGACATTGTTGGCGCACCAGGAAATTGTGTTTGCGATTGTGGCTGGCAAATGTTAGCATGAAGTCTGCTATATTCTAACTTGTACGCACGATAGATGCCAATGGCGCCTAAAAAGGTACCTGCATACTGTACATGTGGATTTCCAGATGCAATCAGCATGGCGAATCCTACGATGCCAAAAATGGATATGAATATGTTGCAGTAGCCTCGCTGTTGGGTACGGTCTGCAATATACCCGACTAATACTGTCACCATGGCGGCAACTGCGTATGGGGGTACAGAGAGCAGGTTGGCTGTCGTAGACTTGTAGCCCAAGCCTGCAATGATAGACGGTAAGAAAAGACTGAATGCGTAAAGTGAGCCGTCAGCTCCCATGTAAATGATAGCAAAGGAAAGTGTTTTCCAGTCTTTGACTGACTGCCAGAAATACTTTGTCTGGAATTCTTCGTGGCCAGATGACGCCTGCTGGTCGGCACGGAGGCGTCGTAGGACGCGGGCTCGGTCGTCGGGACTGAGGAATGTGGCTTCGGCTGGGAAATCATGGACCATCCAGTACGAAGCCACTCCTACCAAGATTGTGGCAAGGCCTTCAAGTATCTTTGCCCGGTTAGTGTACTCCAATCATGAGCATTGTGTAATTACTGCTTTGCCTTACGAATATCCATGCCCAACCGGGTTTTCCTCCTACACCATCCATCTGAGCAATACCTGCAGCGAGAAGCCCGCCAAAGCTGCCAGCAAGCGCTGCTGCTGAGAAAAATACGGCAGCACGTATGCCGAATTCTGCGCGCCTATACCAACAGCTGAGGTAGTAATTAACGCCAGGAAATAGTCCAGCTTCCGCTACACCCAGCCACCATCGCTATTTACCGTTAGCAGAGCTGAAGGTATCAATCTATTAGTACTGTCATGCCACCTACAGCTGTCATAAGCCCTGCATAGTTGTGAACCAGTCCCATGCAAGTCATGCATAGACCCCACCAAAGCATGATGATAGGCAAAAACACACTTGGTCTCATTTTCTTCAGTAGAACATTGGTAAATGGCTCGAACACCGAATAGCTGACAAAAAAGATGGTGAGACTGTTATTGTATTGGCTGTCAGTCATACCAAGATCTTGCTGTAGGCCGTCGACTTTTGCATTGCCAATATTTGTGCGATCGAGAAAGGAGATCAGATACAAAAAGGATAGCCAAGGGATGAGATGCAGGTCGATTTTTCGAAGTAGCTTTTTGTCCTGAGAAGAGGTTAAATGTTTGCAGTAGAGGATGAGGACATGTTAGGGAGGTGACTGTACGTGGATGGCGCGCTCCTCTTCACTGAGGCCAGCATCTGGATTTGGAAGATTCTCAATGGTATGAACGTGTTTGGTGGACTCGATATGCGCCTCACTACTTCCTTTTTCCATTGGTGTCTCGCTTGTATGTTCAACTGCAGAAGCCATTGTGCTAACTGGTTGTGTTGTGATATGCTGTGTGACTAAATGAACAATGCGCCCACGCCGAAATGAACTCGTTCCGAAATCTAAATGGGAGTGTTTGCGTCCCGAAGCGTGGGATGGAATACTTTGTACCCGGGCTTTTGCTCGCGCCCAACTGCGAAGTCGGCCATTCTTAAGCACATCACTATGCGTGCTGACTCCATGCAAGCGTCGGGAAAGAGCTGGGGTATCATCGTTCCATGGATATCTGGCCACGTCTAGCGTCTGGTCCCCTCACGCGGACGTCTTCCATCCTATGACGCTCACAAGAGTCAACCGCTGTGGGGTTTTGAAAGGGACAAGACCCCACCAGGGCCAGTCAGTGACGTGCCGATCCCTTACCACCGCACCGTCCCGATGCCATAGATTGTTCTTAACATCCTCCCTGTCACATACGCGAGACAATGTCCGCACATACACCTGACACCGATAACAAATCATTCTCAACGACGCTAAATGCCGAGAGTAGAGCCACTGTAACAGGAGTGTTGAAGCTCAGAAAGGATACGGCGTGATTGCAGACTACTAGAGATGCGGGGTGGTGGGACCACATGGCTAAACAAGCTTGCACAAGCATTGCGCTTGACGTCGGCATCATTACCTTACGCGTACGCTAAAAAAATCGTTGCGGGTATCTGCCGCGGCAATGCTTAATACACCATCTCATGCATGATTGTGCGGGGTCAACAAGTTTCTCTTCCTTGTATCTACATTGAATTGTACATGACTTGATTCGACCCAACCAAGTACTTTCAATTACGTTCGCCCTCGGGTCCATGAAATCGTCGTATAATTTCAGCAATGCGTTCATGGCTTTAGCACTCTCAACACCCTAATCGTTCTTTTCTCCATTTAGCAAAGTCAATAGATACCGACAACGCACAAAGTAACTGCGAAGAGATGGAAAGCTTCGATATTAACAAGGCGAATAACTCAGGAATTTCAATCGACATCCAACAACTTATATATACTCTACAATGGTCCTGATACAATAGATTCCAGAGTCACTGCCACAACGTAGCAGCGCCTGGCTCGAAGAATCGGTCGCAATTGATCTTCGGTACGTTCAACATCTGGCGAAGAGCTGACCTAGCCTGAAATCGTAATTGATAGACAGGATATAGCGGCACATGGGTAATTACTTGTAATGCGGGCTTGCTTCAAGGTAGTCATGTATCTTATTTGTTTTGCTATAAAAGCCTTGTTTTCCTTCCCCGCTCTACTGGTCACCATTCAAGAAGAAAAAACTAAAGGGTCTTTAGAGTGACGCTGCCTCTTGGAGTTTGGCTGTCCCACGACTGCAAGGTGTAGTAGTCACGTGGGGCTTTTTGGTGGTTTGAATGTACGGGAACAGCGACTCTGGTACGGGCAGATGGTAGGTTCTTGCGATTTGTCCTTGGATTTCCTTTTTGGGTAGAAATTCAAAGGAGGCGTATGAGTGCTGTCGATTTGTGTGATTTTGGTTCCACATTGGCCAAATGACTTCAGTTGTTGATCGTGAGAGAGGTAGTGTAGGGTATCAGTCGTAATGAATGACATTGAATAGGAGCCACGTGCATGACATGACAGTATTCCAAGCAACACAGGGGCAAGTGTTCGAATTTTGAAGCCCTAAAGTACTGGATTTAGATATCGTGACAAACGCCGCCCAAATGCAAGTGGTGGTAGAAAGGATGCTCGCGTAGAAAAGGATACCCGGTGCAGCTCAAACAACAGTCTTACGAGCCTTGATCTCGTTGGCTTTTTGCTTTCTCAAATTCCTTCGAATCCTCTCCTTCCTCTCTTGGCGGCTGTCCGCCCTCTGGTCATGCGCCTCGCCTGTCGCGCGCTCCTTCTTCTCGTCAACCTCGACCAACCAGTCATTCTCACCGTCCTTGTTTTTGCCCTTGTAGCCCCACTTGGGAACCCACTCGCCCTTGGTCTCGTCGTAGACCAGGTTGCTGTCACGCTTCTGCTTCTTAATGCCCTTCTTGGCGGCAAACTTTTCCCATTTGGTGGGCTCCTTGGCGGAGGGAATAGGCTTCTCACGAGGGAGAGGCGTAGTTGGCGCGGGAAGGATCAGATGTACGCCTTCTGAGGTGGACTTGACCTGGCAGGTAGACAGGAGTTGGTTGATGAGTGCTTGGGCGGCATCGCGGGCGGTGGCTTTGAGCGCTTCTTCGTCGGCGCCAGCGGGGATGGGGTTGGGGTCGTTTGCGAGCAAGTTTCCCAGGTCAAAAGTAAAGGGCGTGGGCTTGTCAACAGTAATAGGGCTAGGCCGGATGAGCAAATAGTGGGCTTGCAAGAGGGGAAAATGCATAGCTTACAGTCGGCTTGAGACGGTCGAGTCTGCGACCGAGTTGACGTCCATGGCGCCTCCATTGATTTCGTCGGCGAGTTGCGACTGCGTAGGTGATGTGACGCCCAATCCGACGCCGCCGTCCATTTCTGTGTCTGACATGGTTGTTGGAATTATTCGTGTGTCGAGTCTTGTCTTGCCGTGGGATGCGCAAAAAGTTAAAGTTGCGCCAGGCGGAGAGATCAGAATAATTTTTGGAAGTCAAGGGTCCGTGCACATGCGGCGGACCTCCGAGCGTGCGGGCATCACATCACAGAATTCAATCTTCAGCACCACACAAATCGCCCATTGCGGAGGGCCTGAGCGTCATTGGCCTGCCATGCCTCCTTCAACATGTCTGCGCAGCTTTTCGCAGCTCTCGCTTGATGCCACACCCGCCGTACCCCGCCTGCTGCGCCCACATGTAGCCTGCTTTTCCACATCGTCGATGCGATATGCCGCCGTGGCCAAGAAGAAGGGCATGGCGGCTGCGCCCAAGAAGGGCGTCAAGTCCCTCAACACCAAAAAGGGCAAGAAGGCGCCTAGCGCGGGTGACACGGGAAAGAGACCGGCCCAGGGCGAAAGAAAGGCTCAGCGAAAGCGTATTGTGCTGAGCAATGACAATGCCCTTGAAGTGTCTTCGCTGCAAGACCTGACCAAGGACAATGTACTCAGCGACAAGAATGAGGGCAAGGTCATGGGCCTGCCACAGGAAAATGTCGTGGATGCGCTGAGAGCCGTCGAGGCTTTCAAGACGTCCCAAGGATGGAGCCTCTTCCGCCGGCCTGCCGTGTTGATGCGAAGGGAAGCAATTCAGCTAGCAAAGCTGTTCAAGGACGTAGAAGACTCGGCAGCCGGACAAAAGAAGACTGTGCGGAGGATACTATGCGGCGAGAGAATGAGTGGGAAGAGCACTCTGCTACTTCAGGGTCTGGCCATGGCCTTCTTGCGCGACTGGTTCGTGATTAACATCCCAGAAGGTATGTGTGCCATTGAAGACTCGGGAAACATGAGTTCGCTGACATGACCCAGCCCAGGACCTTGTCAACGCCCACACGGAATATGCTCCTCTCCCAGACTCAGAACCGCTGCAATATACCCAGGATATATATACAGCCAGCCTTCTCCAGCAGATGCTCAAGGCAAACGGTGCCTTTCTTCAAGCCACAAAGCTCAGCACAAAGCCCAACCTTCCTCTCCCGCTCGCTGCAAAGGCAACGTTGAAAGAGCTAGTCGCGCTCGGCGTGGCTAATCCCGAGGTCTCATGGCCAGTCTTCGTAGCCCTGTGGAACGAGCTTTCATTGCCGGGGCGCCCTCCGATCCTACTTGCTCTCGACGGACTATCGCACATCATGCGCCACTCCGAGTACATGTCTGCCCAAGTGAAGCCCATCCACGCCCATGATTTGACACTTGTGCGCCACTTCGTCGACCACCTGTCTGGGCAGAAGAAATTCACAAATGGTGGAGTAGTTCTGGGCGCAACATCACAATCGAACTCGCCTACGTCTTCGGGTCTAGACTTTTGCATCCAAGTAGCTCTGGCTCGCAAAGTGTCGGCCGACGAGGTTCCACAATGGAATCCGTACAAGAGCGTGGACGCCCGTGTCATGGAGGCTCTCAAGGGTCTGCACGACAATTCACCAGAGTTCAATGTCATTGAGGTTGGTGGGCTAAGCAAGGAGGAGGCGCGATCGATCATGGAGTACTATGCCGAGAGCGGTATGCTGAGGCATCGAGTCGACGAGGGCTTCGTGACGGAGAAGTGGAGCTTGGCAGGCATGGGCAACATTGGGGAGCTGGAGAGGGCCAGTGTGCGGATGCGGCTGTAGTTGCTGTACTATACATGTTCTTGTAAATCATCTACTACCCACAATGGCAAGCGCGTGTTGACGCATCACGTGAATCAATTACAGTCAGTTGTTGGGCAAGGACTAGGGGTATGTTTAGACCCACGGGTTTGCCTAGTGCGCCAATCCAGGCCATGAGATATGCTTCTGCCGTCGTGTCCTTGTGCAGGCTAGCTTGCATGACCTGGGCAGTTTGGCATGGATGGATGAAGAATACAGGCGTGTTAGTAATTGGATGTTCCTAGCAAACGTGAGTTCTGGTTTCCTCTCTTCATTGTTAATGTTCAGCCATACAGTCATGGAGATGCCTCCAATGACGCCCGTGCTGGTGTCTTGTGTCTGGGGCCTGAAGTGCGGCACAACAAGATGATCATATAGAGTCGTCATTGTGGGGGGATAGCGATGCAGCGGGTCCTGTATGCCAAAGTACAGCACTGGGACTTGGTAGACTGGAGAGAGGACAGTGTCGTAGACGACGATTGCCGGGGACACTGCAGTCTCGTTCAGAGCCTCCTATGCCATGTCAATCAGCTCTACTACTCCAACAACAGCACGCAACGCACCTCGTCGTCTTCTGCCAAATCACCAAGCTCGTCTAGCTCCTCATCTCTGTCTTGCACCGAGTGGTTGCTAGAGGGCAACCCCTGCGTGAGGGGCTTGGTGATTCGCAGCACAACGGTCCCATGTCGGTGCATCTTCTCCGCAGACAGCCACTCGGTCTGCATGGTGCGCACGCACTGGAAGCGTTGCAGCAGACGGACACAGGCCTGCTCAAACTCTGCTTCGCCAAGGCGGGGAAAGGCCGCTGGCATGATGTGATGCAACTGACTGGCGACGGCAGCGATGTGCACGTATAGTAGTATGTAGTGTAGTGTAGTGACAAGCGTAAGTAAGTAGTATAGAGGGGGAAGCTGGCCGGGCCAGTGAGGCGAGCCCCCCTGTCGCGTGCAGACATGCTAGCCAGGGCTCGGCTGCCTGGAGCGAGACCTGGCGAGCATATGCAAACGAACAGTCGAGCCTAGTCGGCCTCAGTGTAGCCTAGTAACCCCAACTCTCCGCCATCCTACTCGCTTCCACCATACAAACCATCTGCTCCACGATGCCATCCTAGACGCGATCGTCTGAGCCGCCTGCATTGACCGTCGCTGCCTCGACCCACCCGCTCACCTCACTCACCCTCCGTCTTGGTCAGGATGCCGGCGCAAACAGAGAAAAGCCAGCTCAAGCGAGGTCGCGTATGTCCCCATTGCTCCAGATGATGCATTGGCCACGGGCGCATTGCTAACACTGCAATCGCGACAGCTGTCTCAAGGCGAGCAAGTCGAGCCCAAGAGGACCCGCCACTCGCGCCTTTCGCCTCCTGCAAACGCTAGTCGTCTGAAGCAAGGCCCTCTGCCTTCGCCCGTCACCAACAAGGAATCCACTGGTGACCCTTCGCAGGATCGCAAGGAAGGCACCCAGAGCCCCCCTTCTGCCCGTGGTCCCAGCCAGGCTGCACGCGGTGGCCTTTCGTCGCCGCCGCCCTCGGATACCCAGCCCTTTTCGCAATTCGTCTACCCGCCCGAAAACCGGACATATGCAGTCGAGGATGAGGAGGGCGAAGAGGTGTGGGGTTATCTGGTGCCCATGGACGGCAGTGCTGACGATGTAATGGTTTTGCGCCGGAGACAGGCCTGTCCAGTTCCCAGCACAATCGTCGGACAGACTAATGGCAAGGAGCACGTGAGCAAGGGCGAGTACAAGGGCCAGGAAGAGCATTACGAGAAAGACAAGCAAGAGCGTGGTGTTCCCGCGGGCGGATATCTCATAGGCCGTCACCGAGAGTGCGGTAAGTCTAGCCATGGTGCAATGCGTAGCAAGCTTCCTCTGACATGCCCAAGACAAGGTGTTAAACTCACCAACCGTTTCCAACCGTCACTGCCTATTGTTCACAGAGAAAAAGGGGGGCGACGTCGTTGCGGTACTCGAGGACTTGTCGGGCAATGGAACCTTTGTCAACGACACGTTTGTCGGGCGGAACAAGCGACGCGAACTGCATGAGGGTGACGAAATTGCCATCCTCGACGAAGCCCGCTACATCTTCAGATACCCGCTCAAGCGCAACACACACCGATTCCGACAGCAGTACACCATACAGGAGCAACTGGGCAAGGGCCATTTTGCATCCGTCTACCTTTGCGCGGAAAAGTCGACAGGCATACGGCATGCAGTCAAGAAGTTTGAGAAGCGTAGCGGTCCGGGAGAAAAGTCAAAAGTGGAGGGCTTGCAGCAGGAGATTGCCGTGCTCATGAGCGTTAGCCACCCAGCGCTTCTTTGTCTCAAGGACACATTTGATGAAGACGATGGAGTCTACCTTGTTCTTGAGCTGGCGACAGAGGGCGAATTATTCAACTGGATCGTGATGAAGCAAAAGTTGACCGAGGACGAGGCTCGCAAGGTCTTTGTGCAATTGTTTCAGGCGGTTAAGTACCTGGTAAGCCATGGCACTCTCGCACCCTATCCTATTCTGACACACTCTAGCATGAACGCAACATTGTACATCGAGACATCAAGCCTGAGAATATCCTGCTCACCGACAAGGAGCTGTCGGTCAAACTGGCTGACTTTGGTCTTGCCAAAATCATTGGTGAAGAGTCGTTCACGACTACGCTGTAAGTTGACTCAAGTCGTATCCGAGTTGGTCGCTAACGCAGGCAGGTGTGGTACTCCATCATGTATGTTGCTCTGGGTTGCCTACCATCAGGCCGATGCTAACGATGACAGATGTTGCGCCTGAAATTCTAGAAAACTCAAATCATCGCCGGTACACACGTGCTGTCGACGTATGGTCATTGGGAGTCGTCTTGTACATATGCCTGTGCGGTTTCCCTCCCTTCTCAGACGAGCTATACAGCGCCGACAACCCGTACACATTGTCTCAGCAGATCAAGATGGGTCGGTTTGACTATCCATCGCCATACTGGGACTCTGTAGGCGACCCGGCACTAGATCTCATCGACCGCATGCTCACCGTCGACGTGGAGCAACGCATCACCGTCGACGAGTGTTTGGAGCATCCATGGATTACGCAGGGCAAGATCAATGTTAACGACAGTACTGACGGCCTGACGGGCGCAATTTCAAAACTAGACTTTTCAAAGCGTAAGCTACGACGGGAGCGCACCATGCTGAGCAGCATCAACGATGTCAAGGTAACGCGCGTCATTCAAGGCCCCGAAGGGCAGGATGCGGTCAAGGTATACGAGAAGAATGGGGTAGAGAGCAACGGCAAAACGGCCAAGGGCAAGCAACATGCAGTTGCGGAGGAACAGCCGGCTGCGCAGCGGCACCCTGAAGAGTTTGTAGAAATGGGCGGCAAGGGCGACCAGACTCTGTACTCTGAAGAAGACGACGGATCTCGCTATCCAACGGACCAGAGCCTTCTGTCTGGCGAGAGCAAAGAGGCCGAGGCGTAGCAATAGATGGATGGTGCTTTCTGATTTGCAGAGTTTTGGGCGTACCTGGGCGTTATGGATGGGCACAGGCACAAGAGTCGAGACGGGCATGTACAACAGTGGGACCGACATGGTCCAAGCATAGCGTAATAGATACATGGCAGAAACTCTCCAGAGTCTTTCTCGTGAGGATGATATGTGGTAAGGAGTGTAAGTAGTGAGGTGATGTGGATGCAGGGCGGGCCAATGACACGACGCTGGCCTGTCAATGGTGCCATGTTGTCGCTGCCGGCCCGCCCGCCCCGCTCCAGAAGCCGGTCCCTGCCAAGAAGGCAAGGTCCACTACGTCCACTAACAGACCGCTCTGTACGACAGAGGCAGTCGGCCGTGCGATTGGACCGACGTGCCCCTGCGCCATCCCCAGTGTCTAGGAAATTTATTGAGCCCGCCCCCGTCGACATTGTCTCTTCACCCACCCTTTGCTTCTCTCGTTGCTTCTTGCTGTGCACAATGGGTGTCTTTGCCACCATTGCCGGCCCGCTCGGCGACTTCACTTCAAACTCGTCCACGCCCGTCGTTGTCGCTGCCGGCTTTGCCTCCTTTATCCTCCTCGCCATTGTCCTCAATGTCCTCAAGCAGTTCCTATTCAAGAACCCCAATGAGCCGCCTCTCGTCTTCCACTGGGTGCCCATTATCGGCAACACCGTCTGGTATGGCATGGATCCGTATTCCTTCTTCTTCGCCAACTACAAGAAGTATGGCCCCGTCTTCACCTTTATCCTCCTCGGTCGCAAGATGACGGTCTGCCTCGACACTACTGGCAACAACTTTATCCTCAACGGAAAGATCAAGGACGTCAATGCCGAGGAGATCTACTCTCCCCTCACGACCCCCGTGTTCGGCAAGGATGTCGTCTATGACTGTCCCAACTCGAAGCTCATGGAGCAAAAGAAGGTGCGTCGCGTCTTGCCCCCGTTTCCTACGACCTACTTACACCAGATAGTTTGTCAAGTTTGGCCTGACGCAAGAGGCTCTTCGTTCCTACGTAACCCTCATCACACAAGAATGCGAAGACTTCTTCAAGCGCCACAAGGCTTTCAAGGGACAAAAGGGCACTTTCAACGTTCCCAAGGTCATGGCTGAACTCACCATCTACACCGCCTCTCGATCGCTCCAGGGCGAGGAAATCCGCCGCTCGTTCGACTCCAAGTTTGCCGAACTGTACCACGACCTCGACATGGGCTTCTCGCCCATCAACTTTATGCTTTCCTGGGCCCCGCTCCCTCATAACCGTGCTCGTGACAATGCACGCGAGACCATGATTCAACTTTACTCTGAGCTGGTTCGCAAGCGGAGAGCAGGCAACGTCAAGAAGGATTCTCACGACATGATTTGGCATCTGATGGACTGCAAGTACAAGGACGGCACACAGGTTCCTGAACACGAGATTGCTGGAATCATGATTGCTCTACTCATGGCTGGTCAACACTCATCCTCTTCGACCATTTCCTGGATCCTGCTCCGCTTGGCACAGAATCCCGAGATTGTAGAGGAGCTTCTTGCAGAGCAAAAGGCGGCCATGGGTGAGGATCTGCCTACTCTGACGTATGAGGATCTCGACAAGCTGCCTCTCCACGCCCAAGTGGTCAAGGAAACCCTTCGTCTTCACGCTCCGATCCATTCGATTATGCGCAAAGTCAAGCAGCCTCTTGTCGCCGATGGAACAAACTACGTTATCCCTACTTCCCATCATCTCATGTCTTCGCCTGGCTTCTCTGCTCAACTCGACACTCACTTTGTCAACCCCTCTGTCTGGGACCCACACCGATGGGACGCCGAGCAGGACAGCCAAAACGCTGATGAGGATGACGACGATGAGAAGATTGATTATGGCTGGGGTGTTGTGTCCAAGGGCACTAAATCGCCATATCTCCCCTTCGGCGCCGGAAGGCATCGCTGTATCGGCGAGCAGTTTGCCTACCTCCAGCTCCAGACTATTCTTGTTGCGTTTGTCCGTGAGTTCAAGATTAGGAACATTGGAGGTAGCAAGGATATCATCGGAACTGATTACTCGAGTTTGTTCTCGCGCCCTCTTGCTCCTGCCGTTGTTGAGTGGGAGAGGAGGCATGGTCAGTTGTAACTAACTCTTCTTCAACTTGGGGTCTAGGGAAAACATGGTGAGCCGTACAGGAATGGGGCGGTGTAATGACATGAATGTCTTGTTTTTCTCCATTTGGCTGTTCGACGAGGTGTAGTAATCGCGGACATGTGCACATTTAGACGTTTCAAAGACGTACTGTCTAGACTTTAGTATATCATAATAGCAGTTTAATGAAGGATGAAGAAATTAGAAGAACAACATGTAGTCATGGTCGAGAATGAATAAATAACCGGTGTTGCTTTTCACTGAATGCAATAGGGAAGACGATGTGTCAGCGAGGTCTGGTGGCATGAAAATGACGTCTGGGCCGTTCGCACCAGACGAAACTCCGTAAGTCTGTCTGTAGACACGAGAGATTGTTGGTGTACGTCTATGCAACAAAAAAGGTCGGGTGTCTTGTTATGTTGACAGGCAGTGCGGCACTTCCCCACAACCGCCAAGACCGTGCCTTTGCAACATCATCGGAAAGTTCGCGGTGCACACTTGACCCACCTCTCAACATCCACACTCGCAACCAACATGCTCACACGGAGTGCACTGTGCCCAGCAAGGGCCTTTGCCAATCGCTTCCCTCCCGCGATACTCGCCCCCTCATCACTGGGCGCAACCGCTTCCTTTTCGACATGCACACGACCAAGCCCGCTTCCGCAACAGCGCAATCGCCCCGCGACGACAGCGACGGCGACAGCAAAAACGACGCCGTGCACCCAATTCCCCCGCAGCAAATGGCCGGCACGCTATGCGTCGACGACACCAGCACAATCTATGGCCAACAATTCCCCAGGTAGCACACAACCCCAACTCACATGGGACGCCTTCTTCGCGCTGCGCCGGACGCGCCGCAGAATTGGCCAGGCCTGCTCCGGCATTGGTGCTGTGGGTGTCACGTACTTTGGGCTCACGACAATGATCAACAATGGCTATGATGCAACGCTCTCGGCGCAGCTCGGCGGCTTCGACCCCTTCATGCTCATGGGCCTCAGCACCTTGGGCATGATGGGCGTGGGGTGGCTCATTGGTCCCATCTTTGGCAACCAAGTTTTCAATCTGGCGTACAGGGGAGTGATTACCGAGTTCACACGGGTATGTCTGCAACAATCTCAGCAGCACAAAAACAACAGGGATATTACTAATACTCGCTTTACAGAAAGACTCGGCCTTTTTCAACCGCATCAAACGCCACCGTGTCGATCCTACCGCATCGTCGCTGGCCAATCCTCCCCCGGATTACTATGGCGAGAAGATTGGCAGTGTGGCTGGGTATAGGCGGTGGCTGAAGGACCAGCGCGCCTTCAATCTCAAAACGGGCAGGTACAAGGGCGCCAAGACGTTGTAGTGGCATATGCGTTTTGCATTGCACGAGTACCAGCATGTCTTGTAGCAGGGTAGCCGGCATGGTGTAGGAATCATGATGATAAAAGATGGGGAATGTACATTGAGATCAAAGAGAGCAACTGGACTCGGCGCAACTCACCAAAAATCATGTATCGATGGATTGGTATGAGAAGTATATGGCCTGACTCTTCACTCTCGTTTCTTCTAGTATACATATTGCAGTTTGTTCGCTGCTGGTCTCTCAGCTCACATGTATTAAATTCTAGTGACAGACATGTAACTCCTTGTACTTTTATGGCCTTGTCGACGTTCAAAACATACCATTATTCCGCTAAACCAAGTTTCAAATCTGCCGTTTTTGCATCTCTCAAACTTGTTCCCTTTTCTTCAAAAAAGATGAAATATCAGTGTACATGCATCTTGAGACGTTGCCTCGCCCCCATCGTGCAAAGCAGAACCGTGCTATCGTCAAGTTGTCCCTGCAACTAGTACATATGTTACTATTGTAAAGGGGAAAACAAGGTCATTGCATTTTACTCTCATCGCCTTCGTCTTTTGTAACCTTGAGCCTATGCTTTTTTTTCTTAATATGCTCAGAATCAGGACATCTTGTTCTTGTGTGAGAGAATCTGTCACTCTCTACTTTGACTAGGGGAGGTTCTTCACTTTCTAGAGAATAATATTCAAGCATAAAACGAGATAGCTATGAAAATATATGAGTTAGTTGCACTCTGGTGCTCGAAATAGACATCTTACATTCAAGGTAAATGCAATGCACTCAGCCATAGAACCAAATACGCATGCAACCTTTTCACGTGACTTGCGCAGCTTCCAGTACGTTCTTCCATCACTCTGGCTTATGATTTGAATCTTCATATGTCAAGCCCAAGCATACTGCAGGAAGTTTCAAGATTCGAACATAACAATCCATGGATCAAGATGTGCACTTATTCCGTACGTCATGTGCTAAGGGACGTTGAAGACGCAACCCATACAAATGACAACCACTGGATAAGCGTTTCCGCTAAGCTCTATTCACTAAGAATATACCCATGGATACATTCCAAGATATAAAAGTCCACAACAGAATCGAGCCGTGTGATATTAACTCGACTTGCAAAGAAGCTTAACCCAAAAACATACAACAACGGGTATTCACCAGTGATCAATTACCTAACTACTAACCTGCCGGTAAACTGCTCAATTATGAGTAACAGAAGTGTTTCCCTGATCTTATGTGAAGGAAAAGATGAATCAATAGAACATATTCCAATCTACAAGGAAGCGAGAGTCAAGACGTACCGAAAGTCAAGACAAGCAGAGGCTCATGTCGTCTGTTATACACAAATGCGATGAGTGCAATTGTGACTACAAAGCTTGGTCTTGTATACCAGTGGAAAAAAAAGAACTCCAGTCTACTTTGTGCCCATCTACGACGTTTTGCGGTTCTGTGACGTTCTAAGAAGGTCGCACTAGCACATTCCTTCACTATTAGTCAAAGTCTAATTCTAATGCAAAAAAAGAATTCACCCTTTGGCTACCCAACTTTCACCTAGAACCAAGTTTTTTTTGAAAAAAAAATAAATCAATGAAGAACTAAGGTTCTGATACAAACCCGTACCGAAATAATCACACTCAACTTTCCTCAAATCTGCAAGAGAGAGAAAAAAAAAAGCAAGAAGTCACATGACGTCAAAAACCGCAATTCGCTGTACGCTAACATTTTGCTTCTCTTTCTTTCTTTCTTTCTTCAATTCTACATAGATACGAAGCTTTGCTTTTGTCCCGCACGTACACAAGACAATTAATCTTTGGATTCCTGTTGCCAAACTAAAGCGACCCCTCCCCCCCCCCCAAACACCGGCAGATCAGAGCAGAACCAACACCGGACGCCGTCGGAACCCATGTCTTGGTAGTCGCTTTAAAGTTAGAGTAGCGCAAGTTATTAGATAAAAAAACACACAGACGCGCCGACAACCCGGAAAGAGGGCGGGGGGGGGAGAGGAGTTGCATGTGGGCTTTGCTGCTTTGAGTAAGGTTTTGCACAGGGGGCGGCGCGGAGGGGGAGACAAGGAAGAGGAAGGTGAGAAAGCGGGTCGGAAGCGGGGGAAAGCGGAGAGTTTAAAAAGGGCTTCGATTACGCGATGGAAATGTGGGATTTGGGAAATGCGGTATTTGTGGGTATACGTGTATGGGCCCGCGTGGGTTTGGGGAAGGGGGTTTGTTCATCAAGTTGATTGTCACAAATATAGAAGTCATTCGGGGACAAAAACAAAAACAAAAGGTCACGGCAGCCAATGGAGTTGAGAAAACAAGGGGTATATAGGACATTTTAAGACATTACCTTTCATCAAGAAAGGCAATCATTACATGTACGGATATCTACGATATAGGACATCATAGAAATATTACATAAACGAAAGCAGGCTCGCGGTATCGAGCTGTCTGAAGGGTATCAAAGAACTCGGACCAAGCACTCTCTGCGTTGTACGCGCCAACGACCGCTTAAAAGATGCGGTGCATGAAACGCTTCCACGCGGGCCAAGTGGCAATCTCGGCACGCTCCCTGTTGATCAAGTCCCAGTCAAGCTCACGACGGCCAGTGTCGACATCCATCTGAGCAGTGCGGAGCCAACCCTCACGCTTCCAGAAGTAACCGGCAACCCAGAAGGCGCCGACGACAAAGATGGCAAGGTAAGCCTCGAAAAAGTCGCTCGCGGTACCAGTCTTCTTACCGGCAGGCAGGTTGAGGGGAGAGACAGCAGTGTAGAACTAGTTTCAATATTAGTATTTTGCTTATCAAGAAAGTTTCGAGCTTTATCTTACCTGAGCAGCCAAAACCATGATGATGATGCCGATACCGATCCAAGAGCCGATGACACCACCAGCAGCCTTGAAGGGGATCTCGTCGAGAGTGTGTCCGTGGTATGCCCAGGCCTTGCGGAAACGAATGTGGGCCAAGCAGATGGAGCCCCAGGTGAATAGAGCAGCAAGACCGGAAAGGGCGACGAACCAGTTGAAGATGGTGGCACCGGTAGAAGCCAAGTTCATGTAGGCAAGAGGGCCCCACATCATGACGAAGCCGACAGAATAGAGAGGACGTCCAGCGCGGTCAATGTAGGTGAAGAGCTTAGGAGCGTAGCCTTGGTCGGCGAGAGCGGTAAGAGTACGAGATCCACCGTAGACACCAGACACACCGATGGAAATGACTGAGACGAGAATGATGACGTTCATGAAACTGTCAAAACCCACGAGTCCGGCGTTCTTGCCAGCAATGACAAAGGGCGAGGCATTGACATCGGAGGAGCCACCCATCAGGCGCTCATCTTCGTGCTGTACGAGAAGACCGACAAAGGTGAGACCGAGAATGTAGAAGAGGGTGATACGCCAGAAGACTTGGCGAATAGCACCAGGCAGCGACTTGAGAGGGTTCTTGGTCTCGGCAGCGGCCAGACCGACCAACTCAGTACCGGAGAAAGAGAAGGCAGCGGTGACGAAAACACTGCAGAATCCCTTGAAGCCGTACTTGCTGAACGCGCCGGGGTCGTACCAGGTACGAGCACCCCAGTATTCGCTGTACATGCCGCTGCTAGGGCCGCCACCCAAAACGAGGACGAGGGCAATAATCATGAAGACAACTGTAGCGCCAAGCTTGAGGCATGACGACCAGAACTCTTCCTCGGCATATCCCAGAGTACCGAAGACATTGATTAGAATGATGAAGACCCAGAAGATGGTGATGAAGACGGCGACATTTATGCCTTGGGCGCCTTCCCAGTATTGCACAGTAAGACCAGCGACAAGCAATTCGAGCGGTAGAACAATGGCCCATTGGAAGACGTAGTTCCAGCCCATGGCGAAACCCCAGGAAGGATCAATGAAGCGAGTCGAGTAGGTGTAGAAACCACCAGAAACTGGGTACATGACAGCGAGTTCACCAAGAGCATAGACTGGAAAGACCATGTTAGGTTTGTTGGATTAGGCGCAAGCAGAGCTCACTTACCAACGTTGAAGATCATGACTCCCATGATGGAGAAGTCAATGAGGAGCGAAGCAGGACCCTAGAAAGAGAGAATGTGTGAGTGACGATCAGAGAGAGAGACATTTGGTGGTGAGCCAACTTACACCTCTGCTGAGAGCACCACCTGAACCGACGAAGAAACCAGCACCAATGGAACCACCAATGGCAATCATGTGGAGATGGCGAGTCTTCATGGACTTGTCGAGCTCGACCATGGGGCCGGCCTGGGGACGGCGCTGGAAGGACTTGAGGTTGAGACCGTTGCGGGTCATGAAGTCCTCCTGGTCACGCCATTCGACCTGGCCATCCTCACGCGCCGACTCAACGGTAGGCTGAGGGACGCTCGCCTTCTCATCCGAGTGCAAGGCCTTTTCGTGATCCATGATGGGCGAAGGAGGGACAACTCTAGTCGAGAAGTCAAGTTGGTTGAAGGAAAGACGAGATGGAGGGCTCGAGCAGACCCTGGGAGCGGCGGTCTTTTAATATGCAAGAGCTGGATCAGCGGGAGGGGGGAAGGGAGCAGTAGTAGACATTTATCCCGTGCTTGTGGGTGATGGGCTCTCGGAACAAACGACCAGGACCCTCGTCTGGGTGGACACAGGCTCGCCGTGCACGAGCCGACAGCTTGGCATCCCTCCATGACAGTGGCAGGCAAGGCATCCTACTGATAGGCTGGCACGGCACATGGTTGGCTGGGCTCACACGAGCAGAAGAAGCGTTCGGCGTAGCGGGCTGGTCTAGCAGGGACAGTGTGTTGGCACCCCGCGGCGGCTCTTGGGATTAGCTTGGGACCTCCCCACAAGAGCAAAGCGGCCGGTGGCGTCTAGGCTTCGGGGGGGCCATTTGGTCAGACGCGGTTGCTGGGCGGAGATTGGGCCCAAAGCGGACTGATAACGAGGCCGAGTGAATGCATGCAACAGTCTTCTAGCACGCTTTCTAGAATGCTGATTGCATTGCTGGGACGGCGGGCCCGGCCCAGGCTGGCCGCGCTTTGCATCGGACCCGACGCCGCATTCCTTGACAGCTGCCTGTCCCGGGCGAGGGGCGAGAGAGGCGCAAGGCGGGTGTGTTATCTGCAGGCTGCGCTTATGCGTCGGTGTGTAGGTGTAGTGTACATGACTAACCACAATGGCCAGCGCTCGTATAGGCCGTCGAGGTCGTCTGGAGAAGCGTCTCACGTGGCTCCACCTCCATGTGCACCTGCCTCTTGCGATCTAGCGCCTTGGCGTCCCGCTGTCTCCGCCCTCGGTTAGCCCGAGATGCTCACCTCTCCGGCTGTCAACGCCTGTATCGGTGGCGCTGGCGAAGCGCCCTCGCTCGACACATGCCAATCCATTCACCCATCACGCACGCTGCTGCTTGCGTTATTACATACTTACGGCGCGGGGTGGCACGGCATCCGCCTCCTCTCCATCGTGTGCACACCTTGCGTTACATACCCGACCCGCCCCTTTCGCTCGTTTCACCTGCCCCAATACCAGCCGCCCCTCCTCTCCTACACGACCACGGCCACCAGCACCACCAACCGGGTTGCTGACACCGTTATCGCTGTGTGGGGAACGACACACTCCCAATCTCTGCTTAAATAGGCGCACCGCCGCACTCGTGTCTTGGAATTCTGGATGCTAGATGAATCGTCCCACCCTATCCTGATTCACTGTTGCTGATGACACCCAACCTCCGCCGCACCGCCAATCACGTCTTTTTCCCTCACGCACTTCCCCAACCGCTCTAGCGCACCCTCTCCGTCAAAGATGCTGCATGTCTTGGTCTTCTTGGTGTCTTGGTGTCTTGGGATTCTTCCTGTCCCGCCAAACCACAATCAGCATTGCACTCCTACTACCAGGAATCCGGCCGCCTGGCCACCGTATAGACGCGCAGCTGCACTCCAGGGTCCACCGACTTCCGTTATCACACCGTGTCAAATTGGAATTGCAAACGCTCGCTTGTCGCCCTCTAGTGCTGCTCCACTGATAACCAGCTGTCTGAGCGTCGCATGTTGGGGTGCCTCGATCCGCGTCTAGGGCCCACACTGTCCACTTTTCTCCAGTGTCTGTCAACCTCATCCCTCGTCATATCCTCCCGCCAGTGACGCTGCTCGCACAGCATTCGCCAGTCAACGTTAGGAGTGCGGACTATCGGATCAGCTCAAGCTTTTAGCACGCTTAGCATGCCCAATCCATTACCACTGCAACACGACAATTCCATTGCTTGGCGCATCCGCCCATATTCTGCCCGCATAAACCTGCCGTTGCATAAACCACCGGAGAGCCGCCGGTTGCACCGAGTACATGGCTCCTAACCCTCTTTGTGCCGAGAGTACCGCCTTGACATTATCCGCCACAATACGAACTCACAAACATTGATCAACATGTTTGCGCGACACCAATTTAAACACCACCGTTGCGCAATCTACCAGCTGACGCCAGACAGATGATTGGTTCTGCAGGCCACCCTACGACGTCACTAACTTCGCCAGACTCCCTCTCGCCAATCACAGTAAGATTACGCTTATAATCTTTTTTTTCCAATGCCGGACTCAACTACTCTTGCCACAATGCGCCACTTTGTCCATGGCCATGTCAGCGGCTTTCTCTAGTGTTACGCCATTGTGTACACGGTAAGGCTATGGTCGACACCGCACCAATTTACACCCACTCACGTCAGTGCATATTACAACCATAAAAATATCCAAGCGATGTATACGAACATTCCAAGCACTCACTTGGTGTACATACATAAATATGCAAGATTCTAGAAGAATTCCCGCTGCAGTCCTCCAGGGAAGTACCTGGCGGCGGCATTTGTCGTTCCTCTTGAGTAAGCTCATGCATACCACGGCCGAACCCGGAATCGACATCGGGCCATTCAATGACTAGCCATGCAGCTACGGCAGCGGCATCAACAGTTTACGAAGCTTGAGTAGCTTGAAAGGCCTTCCGCCAGGGAATCTCTTCTCTTGATTTTCCTGCTTTTCTTATCTTCCTCGTCTTGTCATCAAACAAGCTTATGCATAGTAGCCCCTTGATCTTGCAGCAAGCAATACTGCTGTCACACCGTTTGCGCGGCTCTTTCTCTCGCGCCAGTCCCTCCAGCATATCTATTTCCTGCTGTTTTTTCAAGAACAAGAACTGGTAGAATTCCAGTCTCATCACTTGCCGCATCCGAGCTATACTAATCACACTGCCTTTTCTTTCTGATGCGTCTGCGATAACACCGGACAGTGAGGTATCTATCTTGTCACCCGGGCAAGGCGGTGGTATGCGGGGAAACAAAAAGCTCGGCGATGGCATAGGAGATGGCGGTAACAGGAAGGTTTGCCGTGTGGTAGATGATGTTGGTGACAATGCTTGATCAAAAACTGAAAGCGGAGATGCTAGGATCAGAAGCGATGGTTTACGGAAGATCCCGTTCGTGTTGATGTTGGGCACAAGAAATGGGTTTACTGGCGAATGTGGCCATGTAACATCCATATCTATGAACGGAGACGGCGTACCTGGATCACAGTAAGAGAGGGTAGGAGACATGACTGGCTGCTGGTTGGTGCGTCGCATTTTCTGGCGTGAAGACAAAAGGCGCGCAACATACCCGTCAAGTTGGAAGTAGGTGTAGGTATGTTTATTGAAGCCGGTCGCGGCCGAACTGAACCCATTTCGCTGTTTCCAAGTCTCCAAGAGATTTTATCTCTAGCAAGGTGATTGACCTATTGATATATAGTCATTGCACGAAACCACTCGCCATCCACCAAAGACAACGCTACACAGTGTTCAAGATATGATGCATCCGAGCGTGCACGCACAGTATACCCTAGAACTCAGACCACAAGGAATCCCCGACTTGGTTGCACGGATATCTACCCATTTACCCCACACCCAAGACACGGGTTAAGACATTCGCATTCGCACAGTCAACGGATTCAACCCCTTTCCCCCGGAAGTACGCAAACCAGGTGTTTTTTTGTTTGAGAGTGGTAGTGAAAAATTATGTTCTTGTTTGCACCAAGAAGATCCATTCCTCTGTTCCACTATTGCTCAATGTAGTCATACATTGGTACCACCTTGATCCATACCCAACTCCTCGGTTCCAGTGCATTTCATCCTTCATTCATACACTCAAGGAGAACTCTTCTAGTGCATTTGTCATCGTTTTCTTGGTCATCAGATACCACGCCGCATTTCTGGGGTGCGCTAAAGAGCGCATTACATTCCGGCCAAATTCTGCCGTGTTGCCCACGCCTCACGCTTACAGGTTATCTAGGCAAACTTTAGCCGCTCACACGTCCAGTCATACATGCGAAGGAGCTTAGTTTTACGTTATGAAGTATATTTTGGTTGTCTATGCTGAAGTCTCATACAAAACAACAAATTATTGTTGCAGCTTGGTTGTCCACTCCTTGTAATCCTTTATACAGCGAGTTACGTTAATCCACGGCTACATCGATTTGCATGTATTTTTAGTCAGCTGCCTAAACCACAACGAGCCCCCGTGCAAGTGAAGCCGCCCCCAAACTTGCCAATAACTATACACTCAAGGCATCCTGCAGGCAGAAGTCTGTTTCGGTTGTCCAATCCGCGTAACAGGTCTAGTGCATCCAAAGCAGAGGCCTCGATTCCATGTACGCGATATCTTCTACGACTGTGCACTAACAATTCTTCATCTCTCACGGTCTTGGCTAGGCGTACCACAAAAGACCAAATCTCATGAACTCACCTTGGTTGATAGGCTGGCTGCCTAAACCGCCAAGTACAACACCCTGCTTCGTTGTACTCTACTGGAGTATCACGCATAGTTCCAACCAACACAGGCTAACATATCTTGGGGATGTTTAGATGAATCATCTTTGGGGTCCATATTGATGGAAACTCGTACGGGTCATGTATATAAAAGCAGTTATGTATCCCGCAATTGGATATTCCAAATCATCATCTTTTGACCATCTCAAACACTTTGATAGCCATATCCCGCAGTCATAGCATCGTTTTGGTGGTAAAACTTTCATCATGAAGATTGCAACTCTCTCCATCTTTGCCGCAGGAATTGCATCCACGGGCGTGATGGCAGCACCTGCTCCTATCGAAGTTCCTGGTACCTCTCCGAATCTTGCCAAACGAGGTCTCTGGTTCAGAGACGAGTGTTTCCCTGAGACTGGCGGCAACACAATTGGCGGGAGCACGCTTTGGATGCTGCGTAACACTTGGAACAATCGATTTGGTGGCGACTTTGGCGGCAGCCTTGGGGTAACGTTTATCGTTAACATCTATGGGGAAAAGTTGAATCTAACACGGTCTGTCAGGTGTACGAATACAAGGGCGTGTGTTGTTGGGGACAGTGCCTGTTCGTATCTTCCGAAGGGCAGGGTAGGAGGTGGTCTGGTGATGCGTGGGGTAATGCTCTATCAAGACTTCAGGGCGTAGTTGGAAACGGTAAACGAGGTCTCTGTGGGGCCCGGATTGATAATGACGCCTATCTGGTCCTGATGACTGTGCAGCACGATGCGGTAACTCTAGGAGGCCCGACTGCTGGCCAGGTGTTTGGAGACACTTGTGGAGGTAACCCTCCTTGGTAGATACTGGGTCTAGTAGTTGATGCATGGAAGAAATCAACCAAGACAAGATGATCGTACTAGTGGCGAAGTACATATTGATTGGTAAACAAGAGCTATGTCTAGGAGTTATATTCGATTTTCTCTACAATCCCTTTTCTGTGCCTGTGCCTCATATGTCAGACTGTAAAAGACCACACGTGCCACAATTCCTCAGAAGCACTAGGTCAAAACAGACTACGGTCAGTCACATGAGACCCTTTAGGATTGTGTTGGTTCCGTTCTAGCCAAGTCAAGTTGCTTACAACCCAGCTTATGACAAGTCCATCTATATGAACCAGGGGTATAGCCTGAATGTAAATCAAAAACAAAGCTTAGGTATCGCATAGCACCAAGTTCCTACGTGTTTTTCCATCAGAACAACTTCACATTCAAATAGAACAAAACCTATCAACACGGCATTCTTTTACCGGTGGTCCGGAACTGGCGAGAAGCAGGTTGTGTCTTACCATTACTCCACTTCAAGGCATACACACACTCTGTGAGAGAAGTCAAGAGACCAACTTCCAAGGATAAACATTTACTTTTTTGCTTTGTGCATCTCTAAAAGCCTCTCCTAGCGTTTCATTCAAGCTCAACCAGAGCCTCCACAATACGCCACAGAATCGCAACCACTCATCACTACCGTGCTACTACTCTAATTCCCCATTCCACTTCCTTAGCGGCGGCACACCAGCCCCGGACCGTTCGCGAACCCGATATTTCCTGAGCTCCAAGACCAACCGATTTTTCTCCTCGTTGAGCTTGCGATTCTTTTCCCGCTCAGCCGCCAGTTCCTCGCTGGTCTTCTTCAGCCGCGCCTCATCCACCATCTTGACTGGTTCGCGTTTGAGCACAGGCGCATCATTCGTCTCCTCCAACATATCTCGCAGCCCACTTATCACAAAGTCGATCGTCACGCCTGAGTTGAGCGTAATGTCGATTCCTGCTTCGAGCTCATCGAGGGGAGCTTGGAATTTACGCGGAAGACCTCTAGAAGGGTCGAGGTTGGTTAGGCGGTGACGCAGGTCTTTCGCGACGCCTTGCAGTTCTTGGTATTCTTTCTTGGGGTTGTTCGAGTGGTTGATGCGCTTGTATGTTGTGGAGAGGAGACCGTATGTAGTACGGCAGCGTAGGTAGTCCTTGCGCTCTATCTATGCTGAAGGGAGGAGTGCCTCCATGTCTGAAGTGAAGAGATGAGTAATGTTTGGGGTACTTGAGATTGTCAAAAGTAAGAGACTTACCTGAGATGATCCTACCGATCTTCTCGTGTCCACAAGAATCTTCAAAAGTCATAGTAATGTTCGGGTTGTGCTCGGATTGTATATGACTGGACTGGGTTCTTAGCAGAGGGCATGCACTGAGATGTTGATTGAATTTGAGAGATTGCGTGAAATCTCCAATTGTTTGGTCGCTTCTAGAATGCGCAAACGGAGAATTGGGGCTATCCTCACAACAGTGAATACAAACGCTGTTGAGATTTACACATGCTGGCATTTTTTGACGATATGTAAGCCCTCTCCGTATTTCAGTGGGTATAAGCTAAATCTAATTCTCTCAGCATCTCAGCTGTTTATACTGCTACAGCTCTATTGTAGCCCAAATCTCTACCAACCGGATACTGTAGAACTATGACAGTCTACCCGTGTAAGAGCGCAGTTAACAGCACTGCTACCTATCGCTCAAATATAATCTGTCTTCTAGAATATCAGCTACCAATGCTCTTCCAGGCGCAAGGGAACCACAAGTACTTACAAGACTGACGACAGAACAGGAACTACTGATTGAAATTGCAGGGAACTTGAATAACCCAGCCAGTTCTAATGCTGTCTTTGTTTCTGATCAAATGCGAGTTCTTGATCGCCAACGCGTCTGCTGTAGTGCAAAAGTCGCCAGCAATGGAATTCAAAGTATCGCCCGAGACAATGACATAGGCGCCGTCACCATTGGGACTGTTTCTGCGGCAGTCGCGCGGGCGGGGGCGGCAAGGAAGCCTCAAGTTGATACCTGGCGGAAGACGGGCGTTGGAATCGTCGCGCCTACCACTCCATTGTGCAACGACATTAGGACTGACGCAGAAGTCTGACGCAACAATGTTCAGTGTGTCTCCGCTGGTGGTATAGTACCACCCTTCACCCCAGTTTTGGGGGTTGTGCCTGCAGCTACGGCGCAAAGCATGCGTCATGCCCAATAGGGAAGTAAGGGTGAACACAACGTCGACACGCATCATGATTATGCAAAGGGAATTAGAGTAAAGAGTAAAGAATTATAGAGCTGCTGGTATATTCTTAAGAGAATGTGAGTATAGCTTTGAATAAAGACTATAGAAAAGGAAACAGGGTAGTCTTATATAGTTATCGGACCAGATTTACTATAGTGACAGGGCAACACTGTCAGTAGCCCTGCCCCTATCCTCAAAGCTATTCCATAAATGCATCGAAACTACATTTTTACAGCAAAAAGAATGTGCTTTTTGGTCAAGCAACAGATGAAGATTGTCCGAAAATGTCTTGGCTCAAGACCGCTATGCTCCACCTCTAGTAAGCACTAGAAAAGGGGGATCAGGGAATGAGCGAGAAGTGAAGCAAGAAATGTTCATCTCGAAGATAATAGCTCTGTCATCTTATGTGTAGCATCTCAGAAGATGAATGAAGAAGATAATTGGACGCCTCATCTCTTACGCAAAGCGACTTTAGGTGACATGCGCAATTCAGGTATGGAAAGTTCTTAGAAATCGCAAAGTACGCTAGTCTCATAAGCGCTAGCAGTTTGCAATAATAGTCCGGGATTTATAACGACTAGTTTGTATTTAATTTGAACAAGACCGTTGGAAGTATTGTGATGTCTTCATAATAAAGTCTCTCGCTTACGAGTCGAAGCAACATTCTATTGGCAGCCAAGCCTGGAAGCGGAATCCAGGAGAAGGGCAGTCCTACCCAATACCCATACTTCCTCCATTGTGAAAAGGAATCGTCCCTGAACTAGATTTCCATTCTCTTCCGTGGACCTCGTCCGTGGACCTCTTCCTTTTTCTCAGCCTCTCCGATTGCGATATGCTGTGATTGGGCAAAAGGAAAAGTCAGTGCGCACAACGCCACTTGAAGGGCTGACTACTGGAACTAATCTGAACCAGATTTTCCCAATTTCGCGTACAATAGACGAATATGTAGTAGTCGGACCCCTTACCAAGACTGGCCTTGGCCGCAAATTCTGCAAGGAGTAGTGATTATAATATATGTACACACAATTTAGCGTCGTTCAAAACAAGGCAGGATAGAACGGCACGTCTCTTACGATTGAACATGTCGGAGAAACTTTATTCAATGCGTCTCAGACGCAAAACGGAAAGAAAAAAGTTTGGATATATTGCATGCGTTTCTCGTGAAAGAAAAAACCACTAGTGACTAAAACAAAGCAAGCACGCCAAGAACATTCCGAGCCTAATGGAGAAAAACTCGAGGATAAGGGTGAGGGTAAGCTCTTACGCGGTGATTCGCCCGATTACACCAACCCTTGCAGAAAATGGTATCATGTTGCGTTTCAGATGAATGCGGCCACCCGTCGCGTTAATCAATCCGAATAATCATCGTCATGAGACACTGGATTTGCCTTTTGAGCACATGCAATCGTAAGAATCATCTTGGTCTTGAAGTGGTCGCACTCGTCGCGCAGTTCTTTGTGCGCCCAGAACCATTCATCTCCTTGATCGAGGTGCATGAACCTGCCGTACAGGGTTTGGTAAAAATGCCGACCCAAAAATGCCATCATCTTGGTGTTGTCGAGCACATCCTGTGGTGTTGGCGCACCGGCATTGGCGAGTGGCGGGGCTGGTGCGGATCTGGGCATTCCTTTGGGCGGCTGCGCCGGAAGTGCTATGCGTGCACGGCGGATGTTTTCTAGGCCTACTATCTCCATGGTGTCGAGAACTGTGTCGGAAGCCTGTTTGCTGATGTCAAGAGACTCAAGTCGGGTAGATAGATTCTCGTCGACCCACGAGGCCATTTTAGGCCCTTCGCAACTCATGTGCGCATCGACTGAAAGTATTTCAATCTGGCCTCCTGGCTTAAGCACGCGCATGCAGTCAAAGAACATGCGAGCCCATTCGTCATTCCGGAGAACTGTGGTAACCGAGCGTGATATTATGGCATCGAAGTAGTTGTCCGGGAATGGCGACTGTGATACAAGAGACGGGACATAAAGTGAGTGGTGATTCATAGGAGCCGGGTAAGCAGCGGGAGGAGAGGCCTGTGTAGAAGAGAGGGTATACACAGTGGCGGCAGGATAGCGATTTGCAAGCATCCAGCCGTCAGCTACATACAGGTCAGTACCAATTTGGCAAATGGCGTGGTTTGATCAGTGACGTACCTATGGAGCCGTGGATCTGGAGTACTCTTCTCTGCTCCGCAGGGCGAGCGTTGATGAGCAATTCATGTACAGGTGACTGCAAGGATTTATTTTGCGTTAGACGCCGGTACGCTGTCAAGGCCCAAAGCCGCTTTTCAAACATGATTTCTTGAAAGCTTTCGTCGTCATCAAGGCCTTCCCATTCTTCGCTTAGTCGTGCGGACATTATACGTGCGCTGGCACTTTCGATTTTTGCCAAAGCGCGAGCAAAGGGTGACGAGCCAGCCTTGCTACTATGGTCACGTTCATTGCTTTTCACACTTCCAGTCCGTGAGCCACGTTCAACAGCTTCAAAAACAGGACCTTGATGGAGGTGATTTGATCCGGCGTACGAAGCAGTCTCGGATATGATTTCAGAGGCAACAGTTTCATAGCCAGAGGCGCTAGAGGAGAAAATGCTAGTTTTTGATGTTGCGACGCTAGCTGGCATATATGAAGTCCGTCGGCTGGAAGAGATTTGGGATCTTGCATCTGCACATTGTGTCAGCATGTCCAACCAACATAGGTCCAATAAATTCGAGCATAGAGACAGCCATCACGTACCTGATGGGCTACCAATACCATGCATCCCTGAACCTGGGGTCGGGGGAAGTTCACTAGTCGGTGGAGGATAAGGCATGGGAACCAGCGAATTCTGTCGTGGCGGTAGAGGATGGACATGCTTATCAGCAGGCAATGAGGGCGGACTTGGAAACAGATATCTGTCCGAATCCAAGGGCGCATCCAAGGGCGCAGTTGGGGGAGCTGGCGCTAGTGTAGAATCTGTCTCGAGCGTAGGGTCGACTATGTCGGTCACTGGAGGTGGTATGTCGACCGTTTGCGCGCCAGTTGGTGACAAGGGCGAAATTTCCTGGATGCCTTTTTTGTTGTTTCTGGAAAACCAGCCGCCGAAACCGGTCTTTTCTTTTGACTTGTGAGTGGATGCATTGTGACTTCTGCCGCTTGTCGTGGGGATGCTGTGCACGCTTGCAGACGACTGCGAATTGGCCGAGCTGGAGCGGCGAGCAGCCTCTTCATCTTCTTTTGCTTTTCGAGCTTTTCGAGCTCCTACGGTCTCTGCATGGCCAGGAGGTACATCAAAGCCTGGGAACATGTCGGTTGTTGGTTCGAACATTGCTGGGTTTGGTGGGGGATCATCGATCGATGTACTACACATTTGAGCTACTTGGCAGCCGTCTTGGAAACCACTACCATGCCCCTAAACCAGTGTCGAGCCCGACAACGACGTGCATCCTGACCAGCCAGGCGTGCTAACGGACAAGGAAGCTGAATAAGAGCTGTGCGTCGGAGCGGCCGTAAGTGGTGGCTTCGCCTCGAACGGCAAATTATGTATACAGTGGCGCCGACGAAATGCCGACAAGCGCCGACGGACAGCTTGTAGTGTGTGGGAAGTACAGGATTCCTGTTCTACGTGCCGCGCCAAAAGGCCATTAGTAGCTGGGCATTGTCTTGCCCAGGTGAAGCTTGACTGGTACTGGACCAGAGCAACGTACACGCTTACATGGACGAGGAGAGGCTCTGGGCACTGGTTGTGTGTGTGCCAATTCCGCGGCCGCTCCATGTACATAGATACATAGAGTGCAGACGGCAGTGTGAGGCATCTGCGCGTAGGCACGCACTCTACTACAAAGGGTAGCAAGTAGGTAGTAAGTATGTAGCCGATGGATCTCGATGGGGCGGCTGCGGGGCATCGGAAGGCCAGACCGCACGTATTTTTGGCGAGATAGTGTTCACCGTATGTATCGTACACTGTCGGATACGAGCGTAGGTACCACGATAGTTAGGATGGCGCAAGTATAAGCCAACGGGTGCAGGCATGATGAGACGAGGGAGCCCGCAGGTTCAGGCGGGCATGCGTATGACAAGTTCTCCGCCTGCCACGGCCCTTTTAGCTTTTGCCAAGCCCCACGATCGCCCACTAGCGCCAGGGTGGAGCCTTGGCAGGCCCCCAAGTCAGGCCAGTTAAGCCTTTGTGCCAATCAGCGAAGCTTCTATGATCTCTCCCCTTCCTCTCGCCTTACTCACGCCCACTTGTGTTGGGCACCGCTTCTGGTCCTTGCGTCGACTGCTTCCTGTCGCTGCCCTCTCGGGGACGAAAAATTGGCTATCTCAGGTAAAAAGCTTCGCTAAATTCCCACCTATGACCTTCACCATCGCCTCGCTCTCATTTCCAGATACGATTTGGAGATTATGCCTGCCCAAGCCTCGACCGACACTTGACTGTCGGCAGTCCAGCTTGTCACGCCACATTGCTGTTGCACAGCACTCAACCAGGCCTATATTTCCTCATCAATTGCTCGTCCTCGCCCACTGCTGCAAACAAGACCATGTCCTGTGCATGCTCATGGCCTGACGCCTGGCCCATTCCCATCCGCCCGCCCGCCAATGACGCTTCGCGGTTGTAATTCCCCGATGACAGCGGCAAGCGAAGTCGGCTACGACAGAGGACATCCGTCACCCTCTACGCTACACTACTACTAGGTAGCCCTTCGACCCTAGAACAGCCAGCCCCCAGCTCGCTTGCCACGTTTGAGTTCTGTCCAGTTCTAGCCCATGCCTGTTGTAGACCGGAGTCAATTCACCATGTGAGCGCCATCGCCACATGCATGACACGAACACGACTCCGGCCCTTTGGTCCCTGCACCGGCCATGGCCCCCCTCCCCTCCAGGTTTCACCTGGTATTACACGTCTATGGCACGCACGGTGGTCGCTATATCTTACCAAGAATCGCAGCCGTCTTTTGATCCCCAGCCGTTCCGACTCCCGCATCACTCTGCTGCACTAACCCTGCTGCTTCTCTGCAAAGATGGGTTTCATGGCACGAAAGACTGCTGCCCTCAACGACTGGGTTGCCCGCTCAATCGTGGGCAGTTTTTTTTACCTTGACGGTTCCGGCCATGTATGTCGATTTACTCATGCCCGGCTGTGCGTCATTATACCGTACTAATACTTTCAGCCCAATGCGAGAAAAAATGCTCGATTCACCACCGAGATCTTGGCTGGCTTAATCACCTTCCTTACAATGGCCTACATCATTGATGTTAATGTGAGTGTATCGAGCAATAACCACAAGACGTCGCCCACTGACACAATTGCCTCATCAGGCCTCCATTCTCGCAGACTCCGGAGTAACATGTGTGTGCAACGACCCAGTCGATCCGACATGCAATGTCAACGATGAATATGCCATTTGTATGCTCGAGGCCGAACGAGATCTCATCACCGCCACCTCTGCCATCTCAGCGCTTGCTTCTTTCCTCATGGGCATCACAGCTAACCTTCCGGTTGGAATGGCGCCAGCCATGGGTCTCAATGCTTATCTTGCATACCAAGTCGTCGGATTCCACGGAACTGGCCCCATTACTTATCGTGTAGCCATGACATCCGTCTTTGTGGAAGGTATCATCTTCACCGGTCTCTCCTTGCTCGGAATCCGCCAATGGCTCAATCGCATCATCCCCGCGTCCATTAAGATGGCATGTGGTGGTGGTATCGGCCTTTTCCTTGCTTTGCTCGGTCTCTCGTATACCCAAGGAGTTGGCGCTGTCACAGGAGGAGATTTCCTGCCCCTTGAGCTGGCTGGCTGTCCTCAAGATCGTTTGGACCCAGTCACAGGCTTATGTACCTCGGGTAGGGCGAGCAGTCATACCATGTGGCTCGGCTTTCTTGCTGGCGGCGTGTTCACTGCTATCTTGATAACACACAGAGTCCGAGGCGCCATGATCATCGGCATCTTGCTGGTATCCATCGTCTCCTGGCCCCGTGATACATCACTTACCTACTTCCCCCGGACAGCTGAAGGAAATAGCCGCTTTGATTACTTCAAGAATGTAGTCGAGGTTCCTTCTATCCGAAAAACTTTGGTTATCCAGGACTGGAATTTGTCGAATGAGGGTTGGCATTTTGCCCTGGCCGTCTTCACTATGCTTTACGTTGATATTCTCAATGCGACTGGAAGTTTGTACTCTATGGCTCGCTTCGCCGGCATCGTGGACCCCGATACGGGTGATTTTCCGCGCAGCGCCCTTGCGTACACTACTGATTCCGTCTGCATTGTGCTCGGGTCTCTCGTTGGAGTGTCTCCTGTCACTGTGTTTGTCGAGTCTGGCGTAAGTAACTAGTTTTCTCATTACCAATTGGCGCCATGCTAACGTGATCAGACTGGTATTGCAGAAGGTGGCCGCACAGGCCTGGCGGCGTGTATGACGGCATTTTGCTTCATCGTCTCTTTGTTCTTTGGTCCAATTTTTGCTTCGATTCCCCCGTGGGCCACTGGTGGCACTTTGATCATCGTTGGATGCATGATGATGCGCGGTGTGACGAACATCAACTGGAAATACGTGAGTCGCATATCACATTACTATTGCATATTTGATGACTAACATTACCAGCCTGGCGACTGCATTCCTGCCTTTGTAACACTTATTTTCATGCCATTCTCGTTCTCGCTTGCATACGGTCTTGTCGCTGGCATCATAACATATGCTGGCATCAACTCCGCCACCTGGTTCCTTGGAGCAATTTCCGGTGGACGTTTCCTTCCTCCTGACTACGACGACAAGGAGTATTGGAGTTGTAAGTGCCACTCACTGCTACGATATGATTGTTCTATACTTACATGATTTGCACAGTGGCTACGGATTATCACTCTCAACCTTGGGTGTAAGTATTTGCACTCCAGATGTACCCTACTCAATCGTTTACTAACATGGCATTTTTAGTGTACGCGCAGTGAGGGGAGACCGACATTTCTGGAAACCTGAAGAACACGACTCGTTTGAACTGTCCTCTACCGAAGTGCGCTTCGAGACAACGGTAACAGGAGGCAGTAAAGTTTAAATTTTGATCGTTGCCTACTAGCTTCGTACTTACTTCGTAGTAATGAAAATCTATCATTAGCAAACTTAACTTTAGTACCCGTTGCTTACTGTCAGACAAGATGTCATCAACCTAAGCGGAACCTTATAAAAAAAGACTCTCAGAAGCGACACGCTCTGATTGGATGTTGTAGTACCCACCATTCAAAGTACCCATGCATATGATTTCCACACGTTCATCGTAGATGATTTACCCATCCCCCTTACTCGACTGGCTAGCCACGTACTAACAAGGAGCCGACAGTGTGGGCGACCACATGACACGTAACAAGACTGTTAGTACCTCGGATACAGTGTTGTCGTGCAAGTTGTGGGGCGTGTTTGGGTATTGTTAGCTTTGTACATGTACAGTGGGGAGAACTGTTGTAGTGTCCACCAGTGTCACGTGACATTTTTTCTCTCTCTCAATGAGGAATGAGGAATTGGTATTTGATTCTGTAGACGAGGCAGAAGGACATTGTTTCATAGTGATGTTTGATTTTTTTCCTTTTTTTAAAAAAAAACTAATTATTCGCTTTCGTGCTTAGAATACACATTTCACTTCCACATATGTATGCTTGATTACCAGATGACTATTCGTAAAACACCAAACATCTAACCTCGATGCTTTGTCTTCCCGGTGCATCTGCAGGCGTATTGGGGTCTGCAAAAGCTGTATGCGGTGTTCGTAACGAGAGTCCCTTCTTTCCCGAGGGCATGCCCTCGCCGAAGCTATCAAAGCACTTGAGCAGCATCACCTCGTCAGGGGTCATATCCTTTTGGTAGTAAAACTTGTGATTGTCGTTTGGGGCTACGGCTAATGTTTCGCCCCTGGCCTCGTAGCCTTCGGTAGAAGTGTAGTTGTTGGGGTCAGGTAGTTTTTCCTTGCCGCGGTCGTCCAGGTCCAATGAGTCTGCGCGCTTGGGGTACAGGAGGTCGGTGGCGACGAAGTCAGAGGGCGAGGTTGTGCGCCAGTCGATCACGGCGAGTGGGTGGTCGGAAGCAGCATGGCCAATGGGTCGCCAAACGTTGATGATTTGGTAGCGGCCTTCGAGGAGCTCCTCGGCTTCTTCTGCTGGCAAGTGCCGGCGGACACGCACTTCTGCCGCAGCAGGTGTCTGGTCGACATGAACCTGCTGGACGGGTTGGCGAGGAGAGTCTTTATCTCGTCTTCGGATGGTGTGGTCGAATATGACGACCTTCTTGATTCCAGGAAGCCTTTCTCGCAGTAAAGATTCGACTTCGCTGTAGTATCCATCTCGGACAGCAGTGTCGTCGGTGAAGAGTTTCTCTTTGGCGGGGGATTGGTAGACTGCAAACCCAGAATTGTCCGTGTTAAACTCATGTTCACGGCCACGAAGGTTGTGTACTGAGCGCTCATGCCATTGATTGCTGAAGTTTGAGCCTGGCCCGTCTACCTTGCCCCAGGGCTTACCCGTATAAGAGTTTGTGTCAATGTGAGAAAAGCTGGCCGTTGTCATGTTGGGCGTATGGAGGTTCAGTGATTTGTGAGAAGACGAACGTGTGAAGGTAGACTTTATGTGTGGCCTACTATTGCCGCTGCTTAGAAATGAAACATGACGCCATCTCCAACTTTGGCCGATGTACTTGAGAAGTGACCAATCAGGTCCCCGTATAACGTGGGCCACAGGTTGCATGTTCGCCCACGAGAAATGCTTCGTGGCGAGATTACAAAGCTGGTGGACAAAGTCGTGATTGTCACATGGGGAGACTTTAGATTGATATACATATTTCCTAGCCTGGAACCCATCTTGCCAATTGTGCAGCTTTGTAGTAAGACGAGGTGCAAAATTTCAAGGGTGTCACGGGGAAGAAACGGGCAGGTGGGGCATGATTATCGCGGCTTGAGCTGAAGTTCCTGTTCGCTTTGATTAGTTTTGCCAACGATACAACGTGTAGTAGTCTACCACTCTCATTTTCCACATTGATTCTTTGCTGCTACATATTTGTAGCCGAACACCACTCTATCTTTTGGGTGGTTGAGCAACGGCTGTGTCATGAGAGCATCGGGCATCAGGCAGACGGAACCCGGTTATCTCCGATTGGTTGGCGCATGCGTCCCCGCAACTCAGCGGCACACTATGCCGTCACTGCTAGACAACTACACCTCATCCTGAAAGATGCCACGAAATTATGACAGCGACAATGACGAGCCGCTTGAGGACAACACGGCAGTACTCGCAATCAAGAACAAGAAGACGGAGCGCCTGAAGCGTAAGAATGCAGCGCGACAGCAGAAGCGTGCCGCCATTGTCAATCTCTCACAGTTGCCTACCGAACTACTGCTAGAATGTCTTAAACACCTTCGTCCGCGCGATGTCTTCAACGTCAGCTTTGTCAACCGGCGACTGTACGAGCTGGTCGAGGTGAATGCGCATGTCATTGGCGATGCCATCATAGCACGCCGCTACAGCATCCTTGTGGAATGCTTTCCCACACCCAAGCTTCTCAGCGACGTCGATCCAGCTGTGCAGGCTCTTCTCACCGACCCCGGGCGGCAGACACAACTCAGCATACACAACCGGCCGTACCAGCACATCCAGTCGCCAGATGCGCACCAGGTGTGTACGTGTCTGACGTGTATTCTGACCTGGAACAATCTCGGGCTGGTACTCGACTTTGCACATTGGCAAGGCCATCTTGACACAGGTATTCCAATACCCACGATACCACGTGGACAGTGGCCAGAATGGAACAGGGAGCTTGTTGCGCGCCACGCCCGCATCGCACGCAAAGCGGTTGAAAACTCGCTGTGGCACGCTGCCATCCTGGAACTGCACCTTGACAGCACGGTGCGGGCTATACGGCGACACTCGAGGAACACAGGTAACCGGCGGATGCACATGGAAATGACGGCAGCAGAGGCAGTATCGGGAACGGATGCGTTTCTAGCCAAGCATGGGCCGCCAAGCCTAGAATTTCCGTACCAAAGAGATGAGTATTACATGCTGTACGTGTGAAGGGCCAATTGGTTGGACAGATTGTTTGGGTGCTGACTTGATATGTTAGTGAAGCATACTTGCCGAACCGGTGGTGGAAGAAGGCAGGCAACTACTGGTTCTACACGATAACCGGTCAGCACGAGCGCGATCTCGAGCTCGTCAAGCGGTTTACCAAAAGGTAAATTTGTTCGTACTCTGTCCATTTTACCATTTCCTCTGTTTGTATGAGGGTCTTTTTTTGCAGAGAACAAGTTGGAGTCAAGCAAGCAAGCGAGAAAGAAAGAAAGAAGAAAAGAAAGAAAAGCTTTGATCGTCATAATGATTCATTCGTCACAGTGATCAACTGGCTCTGCTCAACCACGCCATGGCGAGCATCGATGCGGACAACTGGATGACGGATGTGCTGGACTACAAAACATATATGGTGCCTGCTGGCATGGCTGCGGCGGCGGCGTCTTCATCATCGTCTTCATCATCAACTGGTGTCCGGACAAGGACACTCAAGCACTATGCAGCGATTGTGTAATAGATGTGACTATTTCGCAAGCGCGACTTGAGTTTTGATGAATCTTTTGTTGTTGTCTGTATAAAATTGATGTAATGAAATAGGAGTGTGACCATGTTGTTGGAAAGCTTTTGTTCAAAGTTGATGCATCAAGTAAAGCGCAGTGGGATAGAGTTGGGAGTGCACCAGACGGCAGATGGACCTGACGTGGTAAGAGGAGTAGTTTGCCCGGTTGAGGAAAGAGGGCCGGCAAGCAGGGCCATCCGATGCCCACATGGACAAGGGGGGTTGACGAGGAAGACCAACGAGGAGCGTGGGACGGGAGGTTGATGGCACATGAACCATAGCCCTGTGCTAGAAGCTGGGGCGAGTGGGCCTATGGCCATGGGCTGTTGATAGAGAAGCCGGGCTGACCCTGTGCAGGCAAGGGCAGAGGGTATGGATTGGCATGTGGGCGGGATTTTGGCCTTGCTATCAGTGGTGGGGGGGGGGGGGCTAGTAGTCATCATAGAAACGATGTAACTGGGGATATGGCGCCATTTCTCATGTGCTTGGCCAGGAGAGGGCAGGCAGGGTGATGGCACCGAAGAAGCAGTGCCGACATTGGAGGGGGTGAGAGTGAGTGTGAGCGAGCTTGTTGGTTTGTGTGTACGTGTGTTTAGTAGTTTGTGTGCAAGTGTGGGAAAGAGCAGGATGATGTGGGGGGAAAGGTGCCTCGGTTGCGTCTTGCGGCAAGTTAGTGCTAGTATGGTGTACGTACGTAGTGAGTAGGTAGTGCTGATTTTGTGCGGGCTGTGAGGATTGGGATCAAGAACAGGACAAAATCAACATGGGGGTGGAGGTCGGGAAGCGAGATCAGTCATGATGTCGGATGATTCGTCAGACGTGGGGTGAAGGGCCAAGTCGTGTGTACATAGTAGTATGTAAGTAAGTACATGTTAGGCTGAAGACAAGGCAGCAGCTGGACGAGGGGTCAGCAGTGACGTAACCATGTGTCGACATGTAAGCTGAGGCGAAGAATAGAAACAGGCTGAAGATTGCACACACACACACGCGCGAGGCGACGGGGTGCGGATGGGAGAGGGCAGGGAAGCGCATGTAGGGCAAGAGCGGATGACGTTGCTGAGGCAGGTACATATGAGCTGCCGACGTACAGCCGGATCCCGAGACATTGGGATGCCTTTTGTGTGAGGTTGCGCGTGGCGAGGGTGGGCGGCGAGGAATGAAGCTGAGGGGGACGAGGCTATGCTAGAAGAGGCTGAGGGAGGGAGTGTGTGTGTGTGTGTGTGTGTGTGTGTGTGTGTGTGTGTGTACTTGGTGTATCGAGTAAGTTGTAAGTGCATATCTTGTGGCTTTTGTACTAGATAGTATCCGAGTGTGTAGTGTATTTGAATATTCGCGTCGAGATGGATGCTACATGTAGTACTAGCACTTTCAGTGTGCTGCCGCCGTCGGCAAGCTCGTCGTCGCCGGGCCAGCCGCCCAGGTCGAGTGCGTGTCTCGTCTCATCGGCCCGCCCCAGCCAATTCGATACGGGCCGGTTATTGGGGCCGTGTGATTGGCTACCGACAGCGTGGTTCGCTGGCTCCACAAAGAGAACGAGCGGCGCCTGGGTCTTGTCGATGCACACCACACACATTCTCTCACACACGCACACGCACACGCACACATGCTCCTGTCCATCGACTAACTATGCACCATGTACCATGTACACCTCACACACTCGCAACCACACACACATATACACGCACACACGCACACACGCACAGCATAGTGCGCAACAACCGGCGAGCCACCCCTCCCCCCACCTAGCATCCCCTGGCTGGCCGCCCGTTGACTGGATGCGACGGTTGACCGCTGCAGCCCCATTGCTCATTGCCCGCCAGCCGGCCAGGGCGAGTCGCTGCACGCAGGCGGCCCTCGCAGCGCATCGCCCACCAGCGAGTGCGGCGGCGGTGATTGGCCGGGGATGCAGTAGCGCAGGCCGGCGGGCTGGAAGACTGGAAGAGGAAGCATCTATCCCAGCTTCTTGGCGCATGCGAGCCGCGTCAAAATCTCGTGCTGCCTCGCTCCACGTCCCCCAGCCCTTTGTCCCCTGATCCTGATGCACGTCCAGGCCGCCATTGCTGCTGCTGTTGCTGTTGTTTGGCGACTTGCCCGTCACGACTAACGGCCGATTTACAAGACCCTTTTTTCACGAATTGCACGGCCGCCCTCCCTGCCCACACCCCTACTGTTACTGTTACTCTGCTGCCCCGTCCGCCCGACTACTCTACACTACCACCTCCACCTCCACCTCCACCGCTACCACCACTACTACCACCACCACCACCGCCTCCGCCTTACGCCTGCTCACCAGTGCCAGCCGGTCTTGCACCCTTCAGAGCCACCGCTGCATCTCCACTTACACCCCCCCCCCCCCCCCTCCACACCACACTGCACCATCGCCACCCCCCCCTCCCATATTTCCACGCACTCGCTCCTGTCCCCCCGTGACTACGCCCTCGACCGCCCTCGGGCTTCCCCCTCATGGCCCTCCTCAAGAGCGACCGACCCTCACGCGACGCCAAATCCTCCACACCCCACTCCTCGCCCCTTGCCCGGGTCATGCGCGAGTTCGAGGAGCTCGTTGAGAGTTTCGAGGCTGGCTTGCTACGCTCGCTCGCCGACGACCAAGACGGCACCGCTGCCGACACATTACATCTCAAGGACGCCTCGAGCGACCGCGTCCGCCGCGAGGCATGCCGACTGGCCATCTCCGATCTGAGCAACAAGTACACGCCCACGTACATCCGCCGCTCGCTCAACGCCGCCGAATTGGAGGGGAAACGAGTCGAGGACCAACTGCAAACCCTCTCTTCCAATGGAACTATAGACGCAGACGCCGATGCCGATGCCGATGCCGATGCCGACGACGGCAGCCGCTTGGGCTCCCTGTACAATGGCTACTTCCGCCTCTACTCGACAGAGCTCTTTGACCTCTTGGGCCAGCCCGCCTATCTACGCTTCGGTACTCTGCGCTTTCACAATAACTCGGCCGTTCAACACACCGACGCAGCCTCGCAAGACCAGTCGCAGCCGTCCAGGGTCTCGGTTGAGCTTGCCCTCAACGATTCCTTCTTCGTCGCCGACTCGGAGGAGACGCTGCCGTACCACACATTCCGCCTCCCCACCGGGCCCTCTCTCCAAAACCGCGGCATACTCAGCAGAAAGCCCGAGGACAACGGTGCCTTGCCCCAGTACGACTCGTGGTTGCTTTTTACCTTTCTCGGTAATGGCTGCATCAAGCTCGAGGTGCCCATTGAAATGTGCGCAGACATATACCGAGGCCGTCTGCAAGGATGCGAAAACGAAGAGGTTCTCTTTTGGGGCTTCTTCGTGGACGATGAGGACAACGAGTAGCATTGGCTTTGGCTGGAGTTGGGGTCAACACGGCTTTGGTATTGGAGTTGGGCGCAACAGGACTGGCTACATCGGCCGCTACACCGGGTGCTTGGATATGCATTCACGATTGACGAATTTCCTTTGATTATATTCTTAACCTTCTCCCACGCTCCTCATGCGGGCTATCCATTTTTTCCCCACACGTCATTCCTTGGTATCCCTTTTTTTCTATTTTCGTTTTGGACTCTAGGGCGGCATTTGTGCATAGCATTTTACATTATGTCAAAAGGCGGAAAACGGGCTAGATGATAGAGCGCGTTAACGCGACACAAGCATTTGGTACCTCGATAATACAGACTGATGATCGAATCACATGCGCCGGAAAAAACTAGTGCCGATCCGTTGCTTCTTACCTTGGCTCCACCTTCTGCTTCTGCTTTTGCTACCTTCTATGCATACTTGCTCTACTCGTCTTTGATCTATCGAGCATACCGGCTGCCTTTCTGGTGACAAGCACACGCACAAGCACAGCGACAGCAGTCATGGCTGCGAACACAGGATTCCGACTGGGTGAAGACCAATTTTCAGAGGCGAGCGACAGCGACCAATCACAACACAGCAAACGGAGCCCTTCACCCAGCCAGGCCAACGGTCAGGTACCTGCACAGAAATCCAAGAAGAAAAAACAAAAGGACCGACGCAAAATGGGCGCATTGGCCGACGAGCTAGTCGATGTCTTGGGTGATGCCTTTTCGGCACCGACGGCCCATGCACTCACTGGTAAGTCACGTGCTGTGGCTCACTGCCAGTTCATGCGGTCGCTCTGCACGTTTGGTTGCTTTTAACGTGGGGAGGGCAGACGAGCTGAAGCAAGGTCTAACAAGCTTGTTTAGGTACCGATCAGCAAACAAGCGGTGACCAGAGCATCATGGTTGATGCCGAACCTGCAGGCAAAAAGATGAGTACGTTGTCTTCTTCTCGACAGTCATACGTGTGAACCAGTATTCCGACTATTTGTACTAAATCTTGACCCAGACAAGCGCGCTCGTCAGAATCTCGCGAGGATGCAGGCCCGCAAGGAGAGGAATAGCGTCAAAATGAAGGACGTTACTCAAGACAAGACATTGCAGGCCGAGATGGCCGCTGCAGAGCGAAGAGGCATGTCGTTGGAAGAGTATCGAAAGCTCGGTTCTGGAAAAGGCATGTCCAAGGCTTCGGCCAGGAGGGTGAAGAAGGAAGCTATGCGAAAGCAGCGTGCGGCTGCAATGGTGGACGAAATGGAGATTGGATAGGATGTGGAATCAGGTACGCTGAGTTGTGCTTGTATGATCCCGAGTTGCATCTGCATCTCCGCGCTCCTACTGTACCTTTTCCTTTCTCCTTATCTTGATTCAAGATTAAAAACCTCCACTTTTCCGTCTCCCTTGTCTAACCCCTTGGTTGACAACAGACGGGTCCAAATTTAGCCTCTGCAAGACTGGCTACACACTAGTTTGCAAATCTCACATGATCAACACCGTCTGCGAACACCCTACCTGGACAAAACGACCGGGCTACTGCAAGAAATCAGTCTCATTCCCAATCACTTCTTGCATCCCTTGTCCTCGCTTGTACTTGGCCCATTGCCACCGCCACCACCGCTCTTTCTCCAAAGATGGGGTCATGTTGAAATCATGCTAAACTCACACTAGACTAGAAAAGAGCAGAGTGCAGTAAGCAAAAGGAAAGACGAAGGAGAAGCAAAAAATAGGCCGACGCCCGTATGTCTTCAGCAACGCCCTGCAAAAGCAATTTCCCGGAGAACACAAAAGCAATTCAGAAAAAAAGCAAAACACGTCCGCAAAGGCCAGAATAACATGGTGAACATTCGCAAAGCATGTGAGAATCGCGTTTACGCATTCTCATCCTTTTTTACTTTTTTCCCCTACTATGCTTCTTCTTCCATTGCGCACTTTCCTTTATTTTGCTCTACTCCCTACCGTCAGGCCCCTCCCCAACCCGGGGTCTTGCTTTTCCACTCTCGTCTGACGTGCATGCTTGCCGACTTAACTACATTACTAGGGGTCCGTCTGTTTGACGTTTTCTACTTTTTTTTGCCCTTCTTTATTTCTTGTTCCGGCGAGAAACCACGCGGAGCGTTGTGAACGGTGAACGAGACAAAGGGCTTACCTTCCAAGTGGGGGTGCGGCCATTTGATGAGTACTTGCTGCCCTTTGGGTCATGGCTGACCCTTTTTTTTCTCTACCTCCGGACACATGTATAATGGCTGTGTTTTCCTTCTCCTCTTCTATTTGTTCTTTATGCTGCGTCGGTAGTACGATTTGTGCGCGCGTGTGTGTGCACACCTTTGTATTACAGGTGAGACATGGACTTGTTGAGGAGTTTTCGGTGCTGGCAGGCCGGACATGTATGTCGCTTGGTACTTTGTGGGGTTGCCAAGGGAGGGGTAACACTCGGTATAATTTTCCACGTACCAAAGACGACTTAGTTCTCGTTTGCTTGATTGGGGGGTAAAGTGTATACCGCCTCGTTCAATGCACCCCCAGGAACAAAAGACATGTAGAGTATTATAATATTATCAAAAACGACTTGCGTTTTCTAGTTTCGCAAAAAAAAAGATTTACCTAACATAGCTACGTCCCCAACTCATAACGCGTGTTATCACATCATCTCGTACTCGGTCTACTCTTGGATGTTGTGCACCTGACCGCTCGAGTCAATCTCCACCTTTGTCTTGCGGAGACTGGCATTGCGGGGGTTGGGCGCCTCGAAAATCTCCTTGAGCTCCTCAAGCGTCTTGCCAGCAGTCTCGACGAAGAAGAAGAAAATGACGGCAATCTCGACGCAAATCCATCCAATGTAGACGAGATAGAGCTTCCAGCCAATCGCCTCCATGCCGACCGAAATGCCATACGTGTTGACCACCATGGCGATGTTGAGGAAAAGAAAGTTGAGGCCAGAACCCTTGGCGCGAGTTCGGTTCTCCAGACACTCGACAGAGTAGAGCGTCTGCAGAGGCGTCCAGCCCCATGCGAAGAAGATGCCAAACAAGTAGATGGAGACAATGGTGCCGTACGCGAGGTTATTGTCCGGCTTGGCGGTTGCGGTAAATGCGGTGAGGAGAATGTAGGAAAAGAGACCGCCCCAGAGACCGCCCATGAGCATCTTTCGGCGACCAAGCGTGTCGAGCAGGGTCGCACCGTAAATGGCCGCAAGCATGGAGAAGATGGGGTTGATTGCGTTGATCAGAAGCTGCTTGTTGGGATCTTTAATACCGGCGTTTTTAATCTAAAATCCCCATGGAATTAGTCTGGTGTAATCAAAGGGTGTAGCATCGTCATATCAAGACTTACCATGGCAGGCATAAAGTAGCTGACGACGTTGTTGCCGCTCCATTGGCCAAAGAAGGCCATGGCAATCACCATTGCCAATCGGTACCTCGCCGCACGCGTGTGTACGAGCTCGCGGAAATCCCACCAAGCATTCTCGTTTGTCGTTTGAGCAAAATCCTCGGTAATTTCACGGAGTTGGAGCTGCACAATGGGAGAGTCCTCGTTGCCATTGCCGTGGTACTTGGCCATGATGGCAATCGCCTCTTCCCGCCTGTCGTTTGCCAAGAGCCATCGTGGCGTCTCGGGAAAGACTAGTGTCAAAGTAAGCTTTTGGGCTTTATGGAAAATCTTAGAATAGCGTAGACTTACACATGATCAGAGCCATGACAATGGTAGGCAGAATACATTGGACAATGGTTGGGATCCTCCAGCACCACGCAGAGTCGCCCATGTGCAGGTTGGTTCCGTATGTGGTCCAGCCGGCCAGAATGTTGCCAACCCACCAAAAGTTGTTGTACATGCCGGCCATGGTTCCACGGTAAGCGGGATGGGCAAGCTCGACAGTGTATGCGGGACCTGCTGCAGAGGCGATTGAGGCGCCAAATCCGAGGACGAAGCGACCAGCAATAAAGTGGCCCATCTCGTTTGCCGTTGCTTGGACGGCAGTTCCGACCAGTACGAGCGCACAACCAATGAAAATGCAGAGACGGCGACCCCAGCCATCGGCCAAAAGTCCGCAAAAGGGGAATGCTGCAATCTGGCCCAAGTTGTAGATGATGAAGATGATACCAGTGCTGGAACCCTCGCCAGTCAGGCCAAAGGTTTTTTGGTAGCCTTCCATGGCGTTGATTGAGCCCATCAAGGAACTGTCGAAACCGTTGAGCGTGGAAACCAAGTATCCGATGCCCATGATCATGTAGAGCTTGATCATTCCTGGAGACCATAGCTTTGGCTTTTCGGCCTCAATGGCAGCAGCTTTGTGCAATTAGCATTTTTTGCTCGAGAGCAGGATTCGGCAAACTTACCCAGGGCGACAGAGGCCACGTTCGTCTCCTTGACGGTCTTGTGCTGCAGGTCATCGTCGACTGCACTGAGCTGGTGCGTCACGGCGCCCATGTCCTCGTTCTTTTCTGCCATGTTGTACGAAGAAGACGACGACTACGACTCGGGATGTGGAGAAGAAATATGGAATTGCGCTCCACTGAAAAGCTGGAGAGAACCCGGACGACTGGGTCATCTTATAGTGTCAATGTTTCTCCGCAAACTACTACCACTACCTGCAACCCTAAGGCATGGCACCGAGGCACTTGTCATGCTTGACATGGCTCCCGTGCCTTGCCCATGCTCTAGAAGACCGATGGTTAAGCACGGCCAAGACACCGTTAGCCAAGTGCGCCAGTGATGTGCGGTAACAATGCCACTTTGGGACCGGAGGAGGCACGGAGCGCCCAAAGCATGCATCTCACCAGAGCACTAGGATTCAATCATGTCACGATCCATGGAAAAGCCTTCCCGAGGGGCGGGACAAGGCCCAGATGCAGGACAAAAGCGACGGTACCTGCCAGAACGCACCGTCTGCACGACGCCACGCGTCAACGATCTTGCCACGGCCACGAATCAAAAAATTGGGTAGCTCGGCCAAATTATGAATCGAGATGCGCCGGGCGAGAGAGCATTTGGCGTAGTCGGCCTGGGCAGCGGGGCGTGGAGAAAATTTCGCGGAGAGCCTGGAGAAGCGGGCTAGCCACGTGCAGCATGCCTTCCGACTGCCACATGGAACCCTCAACGCGCCCGGACATCGTCCCATTCCTATTCCGCTGCAAGCTCCCTTCATCGTGTCACGCTTGTTGCTGCCCTCATTCGACCAGGCACATGGCTCGGCTAACAGTTTACCAGCGGACGGCTTCCCCAATGTGGTCATCGACGACCGCAGGCGGGGTTGCGATATCACAAGTGAAAGAGGTAGAGAGCACAAATGTCGAGCAATGTACTGCCATCCCCTCTGAACTCGTCAACAATGGCTTCAGGTCAGCACCCCCAGAGCGTCCCGGACTGGAACAATCTCCAGGTTCTTCACAAGAACACTTTGCCTGCACGTGCCTACTTCCACAACTACACGTCCGAGGCTGATGCTCTCAATGCCGACTTGACCAAGTCCTCGACACACAGCCTATCGGGTACATGGAAGTTCCACCACTCTTACTCTCCGTTCGAGGCGCCCGAAGGCTTCGAGTCGACCACCTTCGACACTTCATCATGGAGTGACATTGCCGTGCCTGGCATGTGGCAGCTGCAAGGCTTTGGTAAAGGCCCCCAGTATACCAATGTCATCTACCACATCCCCGTAGACCCGCCCAATGTCCCATTCACAGACAACGAGACGGGCTCGTACGTCCGCAAGTTTGAAGTTCCCCAAGCACTCAAGGACGGCCAGATCCGCCTTCGGTTCGAAGGTGTCGATGCCGCCTTTCATGTTTGGGTCAACGGAAAGGAAGTGGGGTATTCCCAGGGTAGCAGAAATCCTGACGAATTCGATGTTACATCCTTTGTCGATCTCAACGGGGCGAATACGTTGGCCGTCAGGGTCTACCAGCACTGTGACGGGACTTATATTGAAGACCAGGACCAGTGGTGGTTGAGTGGCATGTAAGTTTCGGCGCTTCTCTTGGCCTGTTCGGTGCTTATGACTATAGATTCCGAGATGTCTCATTAGTCGGGTTCCCCAAGGCTTCTAGAATTGAGAACGTTTTTGCACAAACGCTCCTCGACTCTTCCTACACTGATGCTGAGCTCAAGCTCAAGATCACCGCCACTGGATCTGGAAAGGTCACAGCAAAGCTTCTGGACGCAAAGAAGCAAGAAGTTGCTTCTACAGAAGCTCAGATTGACAGCAACGGCGAAACCAACCTCAGCATCCAAGTCAAGAACCCCCTAAAATGGACTGCCGAATCACCAAACCTCTACCATCTTGTAGTATCTACAGGTGACCAAGTTGTTGCTCAACGCGTTGGATTCAGGCAGGTTGAGATGAAAGGCGGCCTTCTCTTGGTCAATGGTAAGAGAGTCGTCTTCCGTGGAGTCAATCGCCATGAACACCACCCCACCTGTGGCCGTGCTGTTCCGTACGAATTCATGAAAGAAGACTTGTTGACTATGAAGCGTCACAACATCAACGCTATCCGCACATCGCACCAGCTGAATGATCCACGGCTGTACGATCTCGCGGATGAGATGGGCTTCTGGGTCATAGACGAAGCGGATCTGGAATGCCACGGATTCGAAAGCATCTCGGACGCAGCGCTCAGCACGGAGCAGCGCGCCATGCCTTTCCGCGAGCGCCAGCTCCTCACTCGTAAAGAGGCTGCAGAGTGGACGACCAACAACAAGGATTGGACACACGCCTATGTTGATCGTGCTGAGGCTCTTGTAAAGAGAGATCAGTTGCATCCCTCCGTCATCATCTGGAGCTTGGGCAATGAAGCGTTCATGGGATGCAACTTTGTAGCCATGTACGAGCACATCAAGGCGTATGATGACAGCCGGCCTATTCACTACGAAGCCGATATCTACGCCGATACTATGGACATGTACTCCCGGATGTATCCTCCCATCGACGAGATTGTTCGGTTTGGCGAGGACAAGGAGAAGAAGAAGCCACTCATACTCTGTGAATTTGTAAGTAGTGTATGCTAGACATATCCGACTCGGCTAACTGTATCAGATACATGCAATGGGTAATGGCCCTGGAAACATCAAAGAGTATGTCGATGCTTTCTACAAGTATCCCACTTTGCAAGGTGGTTTTGCCTGGGAATGGGCCAACCATGGCCTTCTCACCAAAGACAAGAAGACTGGAGAAGAGTTCTACGCATATGGTGGTGATTTTGGAGAAGAAGTTCACGATGCAACATTCGTCATGGACGGACTCGTCAACTCTGACCACAAGCCAAATGCGGGTTTAGTCGAGTACAAGAAAGCTATCGAGCCAGTACAGCTACTAGAGTCGAGTGCCTCGAAAGCCACATTTATCAACAGATATGACTTTATCACACTAGACCACTTGAGCTGCAGCTATACTACAACATCCGAGTCTGGAACCGAAACCGGATCTGGAAGCCTGGATATTCCATCTGGTATCTTACCAAGCCAGACCTTTGATCTGCAACTTCCAAAGGTTGAAGAATCCAAGGGCGAAGTTCTGCTCAGCATCTCATTCCAGTTGAAGGAAGCCACGCCGTACCTCAAGGCAGGCTTCGAGGTTGCAAACACGCAAGTCCCAATTACTCCGGTCGCGCCACTGCAGCGAGCCGAGGCCAAGGGCAAAGAGATCAAAGTAGAAGCCGAATCTAAGACGGTAATCAAGATTACGGCCGATGGTGCCACATGGAAGTTTAACACGGTTCATGGTTCGCTCACCTCATGGGTGCAGGGATCTACCGAGCTTGTCTCCGAAGCACCAGTGTTTGACGTCTTCCGCGCTCCTACCGATAACGACATACCGCAAGATGGTTGGGATTGGAAAGACAAGCATCTACAACACGCCAAGGCAGCAACTCGCAAGGTCGAGTGGTCGCAGTCTGGCTCAGACACTCTGAAGATCACCGTGCACCAGCGTGTGGCCCCTCCAGTCCTATCCTGGTCGATTGACACCATTCTTACATACACATTCCATGCTAGCGGAACACTCTCTGTCCACGTTGCCGGTACACCCAAGGGCCAAAATCTGCCGCGCACACTCCCGCGCATCGGTCTCGTTCTAGAACTCCCAAAGCAATTTCAAAAAGTCGAATGGTTCGGCCGCGGTTTCGGCGAGTCATACCGCGACAGTAAGCTCTCCCAGCCCGTTGGCAAATACACAGCCTCGAGCATCGACGAGCTGTGGGTCGATTACGAGGTCCCTCAAGAATCAGCAAACCGGACAGACACTCGCTACGTCAGCATTACCAATGGCAGTGGCGCAGGCCTGCTTGCTCAATTCGCAGGCAAAGCGGAGGCAGAGAGGAAGCTATTCGACTTCCAGGCCAGCCACTACAGGATGAAGGATGTGGCTGCTGCGGGCCACCCGCATGAGCTGAGGAAGAGCAAGCGGGAGGAGGTTGTCCTGAGGTTGGATGCTCAGCATCATGGATTGGGTAGTGGTAGCTGTGGACCGAGGACGTTAGATGAGTACAGCTTGCTTTGTGAGCCGTTTGAGTTTGAGGTCCTACTGCAGGCACCTTGAGCCATCTCTTTCCTTGTGTGATTTAGAATAGCAAATGAGATGGGCATCCAGCATTGAAATGATTTGTTGTAGCTCTAACGTCATGTTTGATCTGTTTTTTTTGAATGGTCTGCTACTAAATGAAGTAAGAATTACCTAGCTCTGAAAAGTTAATGCTTGTTTGTCCGCTGACAAGATAGTGCAACGTTCATTCCTCTCGGTTTCATACAATTACTTGATTGTAGCTTTAGTTGCATTTTAGGATCAATCCTAGAGAGGTGGGGTTTCGTGCAACGAAGCAATGCGATCCAATTAACTCTGAGAAACTCTACGTTAATTAATTGCCATTCGCTAGAGTAACGTCCTTTGTAGCTAGTAGTTTTTGCGGATTTCAAAAGGTATCACCCTAAACTTATATCAATATAGCACGATGCTGTAGATAGAAGAAGGGCTTTTGTCTAGCAGAGAAAGAGAAGGCTTTTGAATAGGACGATAAATCTGAATACATATACACACACACTCTCTCTCTAATCAACTGTGATAAGATATTAGGAATTCCCATAAGTGCGGGGACAGCATCTAGTCACGTAATGAGCACCACGATCTCTACCAGCCCAATCGAGCCAGGAAGAAGAAATCATATATAAAGTAGGTCTTTAGACAGTCCGGCTGGCGGTGCTGGAAGGGGGTGCGGTTTAGAGATAATGGACGGATAGAGTAAATGGAGCTCGAGCTGCAAGCCCCCCTTCCCACACCGCTAGCCGGGCTGTCAAAAGACCTACTCTATATGAAGTTTATCAGAAATACTTATCGGCCTAAGCTTAAACCGTGTTCAAGCTCCCTCACCGTCATGGCTCTTGCGCCTGCCAGCTATACGCTCACCTTCACCCAGATTTGGTAACAAACAAATAAGTGGGTCACTTACACTGCTCAGCAGCGTTTACTGTCAACAACCCTATCTTGTCAGCGGACAAAAAGCTATCAGCTTCTTAGGCCAACTCCTACTTCTACATCATGGTTGATACACCGAAGAAACGACGCGTAAGCAGTCTTGTCAGTGCGTAACAGCACCAGTGTACTAACTTCCCCAGGCGGAAAAGTCGTCAAACAGCGGCGCAACGGCACCAAAGCGAACGCGCATACACTCAACTAGCTCATCTACCTGTAGCGGATCCGACACGCCCCTGTCGAAAGACGAGGATTGGACGTTCCGAATCAAAGTTCTGTCGACTACTACAAGCCTCAATGACGAGCTCTTCAGAGATGCTGTCAAAGGTCTTGTCCGCATCTGCTTCCCTGATGATATTCTGAAGCAGATGAGACAACATGCCGTGGAGCAGCACATGCGCGAAAAACGAGCCGAACCAGCGAACATACAGCGAACGATAGAGGCCTTTCAACCGGAGATGATACGCCGTTTGATAGGCATGTTAGCTGGATACTTCGATACGCCCGATCAGGTAGCCTCGGCTGTACAGGCCGCGCTTGGAGAAAGACACAAGACTCCAAATGACGAAGGAACCTTGGGCTCTAGCAATACTATCGTTGAAGAGTCTCGTCCACTGAAGAACAAGAGAACCAATCATAGTAGGGGGCTTCAGGAGGCTACGCCATCACGCAGTTACGATAACAACTTGAACGGCGCCCTGGTAGATGTGGAACGCCAAACAACCCCAGCAGAAAATAGCTTTTCAAATTCCAACACGATTTCTCAAAGGCAGAAAGATAGAAAGATCTCAGCCACATGGAACTGGAATATCGACCCCAATGAAGTCACTGAAGAAGCTGTACAACATGCCTTCCCTCGTACTGCTGATCTGTTTGCATATCATACTTTGCCTACCACCCAACAAATGCTGGGATCCAAAGCATCGAGAAAGGAGATGAGGCTTGACATGCAATCACTGCTAGACAGCATATCCCAAGCGGAATTCCAGAAATAGGTTGAAAGCTTGGATAAGCTTCACAAAGGCAACCGCGGAATGTTGGTCCGGCCAGAGCTTACTCTGATGAACAATGGCCAATTTTCTCGCGTGACACCCGCTCCAAGTCAGTCAACGCTAGATATCAGGAACAACGGCATACCCTCACACAGGAATACCATCATCAAATTCGAGGATACTGAGGATTCTGTTGGAGAACCAAATATCCAGGAAGCACCAATTACCAAAGCGACCACGCAGGCTATCGTAGTTACTAGGCGGCGCTTGTTAACAGAGGACCGTGACCTCGGATCAGCAGTCCCAGGTATAGAGGCCGATGCCGAAACACGCACTAGCCGCTCTCAGAGCAATGACAATATTGACAGGGTAAGAGTCGAAGCCAAGTCTTATATTACTGGTATTAACTTCTATAGTCTTTTGGTATGCCCGTGTTGCAGTTGTTGTGGGGAACAGATTCCTTGACTCCAGAAATGTGTGTCAACGATTACTTGCAGATCACCGAGACGATAATGAACAATCTACAACGCCGAATTGCAGCTGAGGCAAGTTTAGACTCGTTCCCGCGACTGCTCGTGACTAACAAGGACTAGCGCATAGTTGCAAGCGGCCTTGGTGGTCAAAGTAAGACGCGCACAAAGGATGAGCTTCGGAGTAGTATTGTCCAAGCTTTCCCCAAATCCGGACAATTTGTCAATTTTATGAGAATAAAGAAGGACATTGAAGGTTCACTAGTGGAATGGGTAATTGCAGAGCCGCAGGCTTTTCCCGAGCTGAAGGCTATGCCTTTTGTATTCGCTCGTGTACTACCGGTACGAACGAATACTGTGTCATTTTTGCATCATCAAAGACTAACGCAATACATAGCATACAAGAGTGGTGATCGAATCGCTCTTTGGCTCCTGGTCTGCTGTATCTACACTAAGTGGGGTTCAGGTGTGGGGAAGTATCCTTGAAGCTCTTAAGCAGCGAGGCCTCTCGGAAGTACATATATACCCCTGCCTTCTCATTGATCTTTTGATACAAGTTCTAAAATGGACAGGCATCGGTTGGTGCTGCAAATATCGACTGTTTGCAGATCGATAGTCTTTGCAATAACTGCAAGTTTCCAGAGGTCACACGGCGCGCTCTTCTCGAACGTATCTTCCGTCGTGTAGTCTTTTTACACAAGGACAAATTTCCTGAGTTGAAAACAACACCGGTTGTCAAGGTGTGGGAACGAAAGACAGGCTTGGAATGGTGAAGCTCTAGTATGTTATGCTGCAAAGCCGCGTGTCGTTGTGCCTTGTCCAATGAGAGTTTGGGCAAGCAGCTCGATACTATCTGGTTCTAAACATGAGGGTTCGAGGAGTAATCAAGCGGCAAGCTACTGTACTGCGCCCGGTCACATACCACGGAACATGTAGGGGTCTATATCAAAGTAACAAATGCTAGATTCCTTTGATTTTCTAGGGTACTAAAAACGTCCTCCCTATGTCATACTACTTGATAGCTGTTCTTACCCTCTCCTACTAAGATATTTACGAGTCTTCACACTTTTCTGCTACAGAGTTATAGTATGCTGTTAAGAGAATCACGTTTCTTTACATGATGATCGTAACTGTGTACGTAGCAGCGTATACTATCAGACGTAAAAGTTGGACAAAGACACTGTGGGAGCTAAAAAACGACCGTTAGTTAACTCTTAAATTAGTGGCTAGATAAGCTAGAGCTAACTGCGACAGACACGAATTAAGGGCAACAAGAGTAGAGATGGTCATATAGTCTATGTTCACCGTGGACGAACAGCTAGTGAGCTAAGGTAGTGTCCGTTGAGCTTATATCTACACAATGCCAAGTCAGATATGACTAAGGAGGCTAGGCTCTGACAGATAAGTACGCGCCACCCTGGTTTCCGTATCTTGTGTGCGATGCAGTCAAGACAGAATCTGGATTACCCAATGTTCAATGGTTGCTACTCACAATAAAATTTAAGCGCAAAGATTTATTGCTGACTCCGAGGAAGAGAACGGTGCCGCTGGGATGGTGGTCGGCACTTGGATGCCATACATAACAGTAGTTACTGTCTTTCCCACCCCAGACCCGAGGTGAACACATTGAGTATAAGCCCACCCACCACACCCAGCCACGTAGCCCCTCGTTTTTCCCCCCTAAGACCAATTGCTTCCCCAACACCCTGTAGGTATGTAGTACGTACACGAATGGATTTGGAGCTAACCCCACCGAACGGCTAGAGGAAAAATAAGACCCGAGCCGGAGAGGGTGGAGAAAGGGAGAGAGAGAATGTGGGGAAAGGGTACCCCACATTAGCGGAGAAAGGGTTACTTGTCGGAACCTTGTCCATTACGCGCAGAATCGCCCCCAACACGAGCGGGCATATTAAATAAAGGAAGGCAATTATTTTTCCTTCCTTCCTTGATAACTAGACTCGATTGCACAAAAGAAAGAAGAAGAAGAAGAAGAAGCCAAGAGTATCATTGTAATCAAGCGATTACCATACTTTCTAATATTGCGTATTTGGATTTTTTTCTAAAAAAAAACAAAAACCAATTACCCTTTGCAACTACCTATTCTTTTTTTCCTTTTCTACGAATTCCTTACTTAAACTACTTAGACCGAAGGGAAAGAAAAAAACAAAAACAAAAACAAATATGCCTCCTCCAATCCCCGCATACACAGATCCCACATACCAATCCACGCACTACAATCTCTTCCGCGACTCCATTACTAAACCTCTACCGCGCGTGCTACCACCGGGACTTTCGCGCTCGACGTTCGATGTAGCGCTCGCGCGATACAGGAGCGTGGTTGGGGCCGAGCAGGTGTACGATAGCGAGGAGAAGCTAGTCGAGTATATTGATCCGTATGAGCTGCATGAAGCGGAGGATACGAGAAAGGTTCCTAGTGCGGCGGTGAGACCGAAGAGTGTGGAGGAGCTCAGGGGGGTACTGAAGGTGTCGAATGAGTTTGGGATTCCTGTGTGGACGTTTTCGAGGGGAAAGAATCTAGGGTTTGTTCTCTCTTTCTTCTCTCTCTCTCTCTCTCTCTCTCTCTCTCTCTCTCTCTCTTTCTCTGAGATTTTTCAATATGAAATGAGATGGCTTCTAACGTTTTGGAATAGATATGGTGGTCCGGCACCGCGAGTGACGGGCTCCGTGGCACTAGATTTGCACCGCATGGATAAGATTATCCAAGTCAATGCCGAGTACGCGTACGCGGTTGTGGAACCGGGCGTTACATTTACAGACCTCTACGACTACTGTGTCAAGAATAAGCTAAATGTGTGGCCGTCTGTTCCATCGCTGGGCTGGGGCTCCGTCGTTGGCAACACGCTCGATCGCGGCACAGGCTTCACGCCGACATCGACACACCACCAGCACATTGCTGGCCTCGAAGCCATGCTTGCAAACGGCGATCTGGTGCGGTCAGGCCAGTTCGCAGTGTCCGGCTCTCCGTCTGCCCATCTCTCCAAGTTCACCTTTGGCCCCAGCATCGAAGGCCTTTTCTTACAGTCAAACCTCGGTATCGTGACCAAACTCGGCATTTGGCTCACACCCGCGCCCCAGGCCTACATGTCATGCACGTTTAGCATGCCGGATTTCGAAGATGTCGAAACAATTGCCGACATCTTTGGCCCGCTGCGCCGCGACGGCCTACTGCCAAGCACCGTCTATGTATCCAACGTGACAGAGTGGCTCGGTATGGTGGGCCAGCGCGAACAATTCTGGCAACACAAGACGCCGATTCCTGACTGGCGGATCAAAGAGCTGCAGACGGAGCTTGGTCTTGGGTACTGGAATGCAAAGTTTGGCCTGTACGGAGCAAAAGACGTGATTCAAGCGCATTTCGACCAGCTGCACAAGATTATCGTGCAAAAGGCACCAAAGGGCCGGCTCGAGGGCAAGATATTTGCTGCACCAGAGGGCCAGACGCTCGATGCAGCGTCAGTGCCTGAGGTGGAGGGCGGCTTCTTTGTCGGAGTGCCTTCTCTCTGGTCGCTGCCCATGGTCAAATTCAACTTGCCCAAGTCTGGAGGGGGCATTGGTGCACATTGCGACTACAGTCCGATTATCCCGTCGAATGGCAAGGAGATTTTGTCGTGGGTCAAGACGGCCAAGGGGGTTTGTGAAAAGCATGGATTTGACTTGTTCTGCGACTTCTTCATGCACGAACGTCATGTGATTTTTGTAAACATGTTGACGTTTGACAAGTTGAATGTAGGGCAGCTAGAGGCGGTGCAGCACATCTTTGACGACTTGTTCGAGCAGGGCAAAAACAAGGGGTATAGCAATTATCGCAGTCATGTGGATTACATGGGTACGTATCTTTGGTCTTTTGCTGTGGAGTTTGTAGGAGCTGACAAGGGGCCTAGATCGCGTTGCCTCGCTGTACGATTTCAACAACCATGCATATCGGAGATTTGTCGAGACGATCAAGGATGCAGTGGACCCAAACGGCATTCTTTCACCGGGCAAGCAGGGCATTTGGCCGAAACGGTTCCGTGAAGAGGATAAGACAAAGGCTCATTTGTAGTATGTGTACTAGTATATATGTTGTCATGGAAATGGTATGGTATGTGGGGGGGGGGGGGTGGCATTCCGGCCATGGACAGTGCTTTTGAATGGATACTCATCTGTCATATGGTTGATTGTGTTTTTGTGTTGTGTTGTCGTATCGACATGAGCCCCTGGCTAGCCCGGGAGATGGCTTTGAGGAGATGTTATTGATAGCAGATGAGGCAGTATGTCTATGCCATAGATAACCCCATCATTGTGGAAGCATTCGGATCGTGATGACTAGGATGCCATGAATTGTATATACTACACCGATGTCATGAGTCGGGGTAAGACGTCACGTGCAGTCTGGCCAACTTGCTGTTGGAGTGGTACATAGTAGTAGTAAGTATACTACCTACAACTTGTGAGACGCGGACAACAGATGTCCGCATCACGTGGCGGGAGCGGTGTCGCCTGATTCTGCCATCTGCCTGTGCAGTCATGATCGTCCCGCCGCCGAGATCGAGACTGAATAGAGCGTGTGGTGCAATTACCTGTCGACGATCTGTTGCAGCCATGGACGAGTCGTGGAGATTAAAGCAGCGATAACCAATCGGTGAGACTGTCGCATGGAGATTAGCCAATGCGGAAGCCCCGAGGGGTGTGGCGTGCGAGTGTGGCGCGTGTGGCGGGTGCAGACAGCAAATTCGGTGGCACAATGGGGGTGGCTAGAAAAGGGAGAAAGGGTTGAGGGCTGGAGGGAAGGAGGAAGTTGGTGTGCACTGACTGCACTATGGCCACTAGGAAGGACGGTGAGGTTCGATTTGATAGCTGAGTGGTCGAGGGAGGCAAGCGGGAGGCGTGGAGATGCGGTGCCTGACGATCGATAAGTGGATTGCTGACGGTTGCGGGTGGTTGTGGTAAGTAGAATGGAAGGTGCAGCGGACACGGCATGCCAGGGCCTGAGGTGAAAATGACGCAGTGCAGGCGTGGCGGAGTAGCGCGGAGCGGATTCCATGGTTGGAGACGCGACACAGACACAGACACAGGCAGGCAGGGATTTCGGAGCAACTGAGGTTGGCAGTGGCTGAGGAGGGGAGCAGCCAATCAGCGGGCAGGAGCGGACAGGCCAAGGAAGTATCCATCCGACGGCGCCGTGTGTTGGTCTCGCTCCGTCCCCTCCGTCCCCTCCATCTGACTGATGAATCTGATAGCAGCACGAGTAGCACGAGTAGCACGAGTAGCACGAGTAGCACGAGTAGCACAAGCAGCACGAGCAAGACGCACACGGGCAGACGGGCCAATGGCGAATGGCGAGGGGCGGAGGGTGGCGCGTCGATTTGCAGGGCGGCGATTGGCGGGTCGGGGTTTACTTACTGCCTAGGCTGCAGCTGCAGGGCCAGGTCAGCAGTGTCACCAGCCATCCATCCATCAGCCAAACCGTTGACGGCCGTGGCCATGCATGACGACAGGGCGTGGCCAAGGTTGAAGCCATCGACTACGATACTCTACACTACACTACACTACACTACACACACAGCAGCGCACAGTCACGTCCGCGTATGCATCCGTATAGTATTTATGTACTTTGTACATGTGTGTTGTGTGTCGAGCATGTATATGCAGCAGCCATGTAGAGTAGTGTACTCAAGCTTGCATGGAAGCCGCATGCTCGTATGTGGCGGCGGCGGCCATGGCAGCAGAGGACGGCAGCTCGAGACGACACGACACGCGGGCCATGTCAGCG